TTACCATCTTTTAAGTTCTTACTTTTATACACGATAACATGCATTTTAAATTTTATATTTTTAAACAGAATATTATTCGGAATATATCGTTGTATAAAAATCAAATTTCAGACAATTATAATAGTTAATTAGAATAAGGTAAATATTTAAAGTTTAGATAAGTAGAGTAGAGGGTAAATGGTTAATCAAAACTTTGAATACTTATACATTATATAAGTTTATGACTAATTAATTACTCATTTAAAATTATTTTTATACAAAATATTATGAAAAACATTTTGTTTGAGAATTTGAAATTAAAAATGTATGCTTTCATTCAAAAAGTAAAAACATAAAAAATGTCAAGTATAAATAATTTAAAAAATATTAAATTTTTTCCCAAAAGTGTTGTTTTATAGTGACTCAAAAGATATATAAAAAAATATTTTCAAAAACATTAATGGTATTTTAAGTTATACGTATTATTTGATAAATTAATTGTTTTTATTAGTTGTAAGTTTATTACAATATACAACTATACACATACTAAAATCATTAATACTACCAATGACAGTAATGTGTATAGTTTTTTAAGTTACATTTGATTATTAGTTCTTTGTAAATATTCTATTGCTAAGTCACATAAAATATGTATTTAAAAGGTTCTCTAAACGAACCATTACCTCACTATAATTATATTAAATTTAGAAATTGTTCATGTAATCCAATTTTAGAATTGTGCATTAACAATAACAATACGGCTTCAAATTTATAAGTTGTTTTATGAATAATATCATGGCTGAATTATATGTTGTAGCCTTATAGTTAGGTGCATATTAGTATACGAGTATTACTATAGAATATAGATACATAAATCGGTAGTATTCATTTTTCACTCTTTTTTCAATCGAATAGACATCACTAGATTATGTTTATGTTTGTAAAAATGATCGATGGTTTTTCAAATAGAATGTATTTATTAATACAAAATATATTCAGTTGGTTTAACCTCGCAGGCTATTAAATAAATATTATAATGTTACTATATATATATATGTCATATATTACTATATTTTGGCATTTAAATAATTGAACACGTTTGTATAAATTTATAATAACTATACAATACAATTAGATATCAGATATTAGTGATTAGTAGGGCCCAGATTTTAATGCAAAGTGCATATATTTTTGCTTGATCTTAGACAAAGCTTTCCAAGCACATAATTCGTTTCATGTAATAATTTTTTCGCATATTTCAGCGTTTTTTTAAGTTTTAGAGCATTTTTAGCACTACTACGGCATTTTTTTGGTTAACATATAGTATATTATACACTATATTATAAATAAACTATACAAATTTGACGTATTTATTTATTTATTTATATTTTGGTAGGTACTTATGCTTAGAATAAATAATATTGCCCCAAAATATATGCGTATCAACAACATAGAAAAGTATCAAATCAATTTTTCCAATTTTCTGTTTTTTTTTTTTTTTTTTTTTTTTTTTTTTTTTAAATAAAGCAATAAATAATGATTATATTTTATTTATAAACTCCAAATTAAAATACCGATTTGTATAAAAAAAAAAAAAACATATAGGTGGGATTTTTAAGGTCATGTTTTAAAGATATTTTTAGATATTTTTTGAAGCATATTTGTATGATTTTAAATTCAGGCCCTAGTGATTAGTTAGAACAGGTAACCTGGCAATGTGTAAAAGTAAGTACCTACCTTGTACTCTATAGTTTTAATGGTGTTCTTATTAAAATGTTTGCAAAATAATTATTAAACCACAGACTTGCTTGGTATTTACATTAGTAAATATGAATAGAATATATTATTATTGTATAGTCACAAGTCCTGGTGTAGTGGTATCTGATTATTAGTTGTATTTCTGAACATTCCAAACCTTAAAAGCGGTTGGTTAGATTTAGATTCGATGTATGTACCTACCACGAATTTACAGTTAGGTATGTCATGTATGTTATTGTATGACGTATGTTATGTATATGTAATATACGTCACAACGACGATATTATTAATAATATCGAGTATAGTAATAAATGTCGTAGTCTGTACCTATGTTACGATGGAATACTTTGCAGTGTTATATTTGGTGTAAATACGTGTTATTAAGTTATATCATAATAAAGTTAAAATTAACTCATTAAATACTAAATGATACAAACTTAATCGTTATGCATATTGTATGTAATTTACATAATACTCGTATAATTGTCGTGGCTATAGCTGTACATCTGTGCATTGTCTGTCTAACGAAGATTTTGACGTATGCATAGATATAGTATACATAGTGTGAACTGTAAATGTGTGATAAACATATTGAGATGGTTAAATTAATCCCATCACCTTATTACCTTAAACTTTAAAGTAGTAAATTTTCGAAAGTACTTATTTAACCTATACCTACTATGCATACGCGAGTACACATACATGGTCAGGTATATAGACCAGTTAATAATAAAATATCGCTAGAAATGTACATGACTCTAAATCTCTCGAAATTTGAGAATTTCTTTAGGTTTAGTGTATTTCTTATTATACCACCGGCATTAAACGTTAAACGATTAACTCTAGCGCACGTATACCTAAATAAATTAGTGGTATCATAAAAAAAAATCTTGAAAAATAATCTCTTAAACCTTTATTCATAATGTGGTTCTATACAAAACACTATAATCTGTTCTGGATAATCTTGAACGTGTGTTAAAAGTAACGTATTATGTAATTTATTAATTATTTATATAATATCAACTCAGGTGTCTATTGCACATCGGTAAATAGATTATAGCTATATACTACAGATTAAATTAATTTATAAAAATATAATATATATTTTTTAAATAGAAATTTTCACTGTCATTTTTTATTGAGTGATAATAGTTATAGCGATTGTATTTAAATCTCATACTGCCTATACATTTTTTCAAACTAAAAACCACAAAAAATATCTGAGAAAATGATTATTATGTTTACAAATTGGCCTGTTTATTTGTATATTATAATTTATTACTATTTATGATATGATTATTATTTTTATAACGTTTTCACGATGGTAAATTGATCGTCACCGAGCGGAGGGAGTTTTAACAACATACATGACATATAATAACACGCTACCTTTCCTATCCTTCAACTGCTGGCGCACACGTATAATATATCATTCTAAATAGTATAATAATACATTTATTAAAAATGATATGGTTTAATAATAAATTATAACTAGTTAAATATTACAATATTAACGTGTACCTGCGTATAATATTAACAATTATTATTCGTTATTAAATCGAAGTCAAGCCATTTTTTATTGGATTTATGATCATCAATCAGTTAAATTTCAAAATATTTCAATTTCTGTGATTCAACCTCGGTCTATATGAGTGACGGTAGAATGGGATGTTTGTGTGAGAGATAGAGATGGAGAGTTACTTCTTGGATTTATGTCATGGATTTTACTTCATACGTATAAGTATATGTATTTGTATACATTTATATGCATTACAAGCGTTTACAAAATAACAACATTAGGGCGTAAAAGGTTTTTATTCATAACGTTCGGCACAAAGCCGACTACCTATATGGTCCCTATCTCAAAAGACTAAATATTAAAAAAATAAAAAGTAAAATCAAGTTAAAAAGATACAGTTATGTTGATATAATAATTTCTGAACGTGAGCTTTTTAAGTCTAATAATCTTTGATATAGGTACTTTCAAATTATTATAATAAAGAGATGATTGCACTAAAAATTAATTAAACCTATAATACAAATAATCTCGCTAAATTTCGTTGTGCTTAACTAATTAAGATTAAACTAATTTGTATACCGATAGGCTGATAGATATCATTTATAAATCACTTGTATTCAACCGGAGATGCTGAATGCGCGGTAATTAAATTAGATAATATTTACATTTCATGAACGTACATACAAAAAAAATTACGATGACATGGGACTATAGTTTAGTTTAAAGCATATATTTAATGTTGTACAGTGTACACTGACAACGAAAATTATTTTAAAAGAATATGAAAATCTCGTGAAATTATTGTATTCTTCTAATATTGTTTTTTTTATAACTTTGAAGATTTTCGTCTACAAAGCAGTAATAATGTAATATATTCTAAAATAATTTTGATGCAATGTTTAAATCTGTTTTGTAATATTCGTTAGTTCATCTGTCAGTTGATTACATGCGTTCTCGCGGAAATTAATGTTATTCGTTCCGCCGAATAATATGAGGACATATTTTACATTTAACTCTAACAAAAAGGGGTACCTATATTTCCTTATGGTCCATTGAATTTGTTATTTAAAATCTGATTTTAATGGAGCATAAACAGTACCTTTTTATATTTAATCCTTCTGAGGAGTGCTTTAAGAATATACAGGTGTTACTTAGAGAGTCGATTATAGGATTGAAAAATATTTCATTTCAGAACAACCAAGTAAGTACCATATTCACTTTTCACTCTCATCACCTTAATTTTTAGGGATGATGTAGTTACAAACACGTCCTAAGTAAGGTATACAAAAATAAACTTTACAATAAAAGTTGGTCTATAATGTAAAATGTTACAAAATTAAAAATAATAACATTGGCAGTTAAATGTATAATGTATATTATAGGTACGTAATTGCGCTCTTTGGTTATGTTACAAATTTTAAAAACATATGCTTATATAATATGTCAATACTGGTCAAAAGGCAAAAAACGAATTAGAAAATACATGCATGAACATAAGGTAAACATTCGTTTGTTAAAATCCGAAATTAAAACTGAACATTTGAACTTGTTGATTGTTGCGTTATAACAGTATACTTGCAACAGTATAAGTATAGTACTTGAGATACTTGAAAAGCTATTTCGGAGGTACAAAATCTTCTATGGGTACCTACCGGTCAACCTAGTCCTAAATTATAATATAAAAATTGAATCGACCATAACAATAGTAATATATTATTATTCTGTCTTAATTTGTTTTCGATAGAAAAAAAAACACGTAGCGGTGGCGGAGGAGGAGGCAGTGACGGCGGCGGCGGCGTCGGAGGAGGTGTTGGTGGTGAATACGACTACTGCTGCGACGACGACGGCGGCGGTGGTGGTTGCGGCGTCGACAGTGGCGGCGGAAGTGGTGGCGATGGCAGCGGCGGTAGTATGGACGGCAACGGCCACTGCAGCTAGTGCCTAGCCCGCTGTGGAGACACCATGGAGACGAGAATGGCCGCGTAATGAACGCGCTCGCGGCTCGGGCGGCGTTGTCTGCACTGTACACCGCGTCGACGTCATCGTCGTCACTCGAGGCGGCGGGCACCCATGCGTGGACAACAGTGGCGTCGGCGGCCGCAGCCGTTGTTTCGAACGGCACCACCGCCGCCGCCGGGCAACCCGACGGCGGATCGCTGCAGCCCAGGTTCACGCTGTCCCAGACGGTGTTCATCGCGCTCGTGTCCGGCATGCTCAGCTTCGTCACCGTGTCCGGCAACATAATGGTCATGGTGTCGTTCAAGATCGACAAGCAGCTGCAGAACATCAGCAACTACTTCTTGTTTAGCTTGGCGATGGCCGACTTTTTCATCGGGCTCATATCCATGCCGCTGTTCACCGTGTACACCATACTCGGCTACTGGCCGTTCGGTCGTCACGTGTGCGACGGTTGGCTGGCGCTCGACTACCTGGCCAGCAACGCTTCCGTGCTCAACCTGCTGCTGATCAGCTTCGATAGGTACCTGTCCGTCACCAGACCGCTGACGTACAGGGCCAAGCGGACCAAAGGCAAAGCGTTGCTGTTCATATGTAAGTATACGCGTATGATAAGTCATCGTTTTTAACAAACGTTTTGTGATTGATACACGATCACGATAATATATCAACGGTATAAGTTGTAGACGGCTGTACTATATATTTTTAGTCTAGGGTTTGAATAGTAAAACACTGAAAATCGTTAAATGAACAATTATATTACACCTTTTTCATCATGCGTTGTGAACAGTGGTTAACTTACATAATAAAATATACATTGAAATTATTTCTACAATGAAATTGTATATTTAATTTTTAGTAAGAATATTGTTTAACAATTTCGTTTGAATATATTTTTGCATTTTGCTAACATTTCTCTACCATAAATACGAATTCCACATACGCGACTGATAATATATTTCCTTTAAAATAAAGTTGAATATAAAACTAATTAAAATATTACTATGTCTTTGTGTATAAGTATAATGATAATAAATAATAATATAATATAATAGGTACTCGCGTGTATATATAAAGCGCAGGACATACCTGCATAACGAATCGCTTACTAGATTCAACATCTCTAATAATACCTATGTGGTATTTATTATGTAAATATTAAATGAGCCAAATAAGGTTTGCTAGTTTGCTACCCACTACGCCAACCATCCCTAGTTCTAACATGATGTAGTTCTATCTAGGTGCAGATACTCTTTACATTATTAAGTATGACTTGTGTTAGTTATTGCATAAAAAGTTTTTGAATTTACAAAACACAAAACAAATATTAGTTCCAACTTCAATAAAATTTAGTATATATACTGCACTGTGTGCACTCGTAGTTCAAAATCCAATTTGCTAAAAACTATTATAATATATTCCATAAATGTACATTGTACCTAATACATTTCCAAGAATTAGTGTTTTTATTTGGAATAAAAAATACACAACTAACTGTATTATTTTATTACCTACAATATTATTTGAACCAATAATATAAGTCGTTAATATATAATATTTATATAATTTTAATATATTTTTATTATAAATAGAGAGAAGATTAAATAAACATTGAAGACAATTGATAATTTATAAGAAAATTATTATAAACGCTGAATGTTTTTTAGTTATAAATTATGTGAATATGTATATAATATACAAAAAAATAACAAAGATTATTCACAGAGAGAAAAATAAAAMATAACCAGAATACTGAGTGTTTTTAAATTATTGCGTGACTTATCCATATGGAATACTTGGCAGTTCCCATTTAAAACTTACCCAGACTTACTGCATCTTCTAAAACTCTTACACCTTTTCCCTATAGTAGATTCACAACATTCTAATAGGGCGTACTGAAAAAAAACACGTGGATCAGGATAAATCATATATATAAGCCGTAAGCCATTTGGTATACGTGGTCCAGTAGTAATCTATTTGGACTATAATCTTACTTCAACGCCACACGTGTTCGATGGGCGATAGAAAAGGAATAATTCCACATTATTCTTCGTTGACGGAGATTGAGAGATTATCTGACATTATTACTGCACAAATTCTTAAAATAATCTAAAATTTCTTGAAGAACAAGAAAATCTTCGATTTCCGAAATAGTATAAAATATTTTTGAGTCATCACTAAGAAGAAGTACCTGATAAGGATAAAAACAGAAGTATTTCTATTTTGACTTTAAATATATAATACTATATTGGATATTCTATAAATTATAATCTTTTGAATTGCGTATTACGGAATGAAAAGCTTGTAAATATGTTTTCTATTATTTAAATAGTTGTATTGTTGTGAAATTTCTCCAATATTCCCCTTCAAGATACTAAAATAGAATTGTATTTATAAAATACTGATCACAGATACTTTAGTATAATTATAAAGTTTTGTTAACACAAATCAAGTTTACAATATAAATCTTATTTAGAATATTGATTATCAGTAAGTTATTCCATTATTCAATTTATTTCAGACTCTCTGAGCAACTGATTGTAAATCAAACTTCGAAAAAAATTATGTTAATGAGTACGTTCATAAACATATACGCATATATACATATATACCATTCGATATACTTAAAACACGTGGTACGTGATTGTACCTATCACATACGACATACAACAAAGTTGCATGGAGTAAAATTTAAAAAAAATCCGTTCAATTATGTAATTATAAGTGCACGATTGCGTCGTGTCTATGAATCAATGGAGCTCTAATATGTATATGATTACGACACTACAAGGAAAAATCAAATTTTATATTTTTGAAGTTTCTACTCGAAATGTTGTAAGGTTTCAAAATTAAATCCATTTACAGTTTATAGATTACAGTGTATATCGAAAAAATATTTTTAAAGACACGATGGAAATATAAGAGTGATTAAATATTTTTAAGTTAAAACAGATTAATGAAAAACAAAAATCATTTAAGTTGTTGTGGATTAATGGAGTATGTATAAGTAGTATGCAACCATCATTTGCTGCAACAAATCCAGTATTAATCTGAAATAACGTAAAAAAAATCTTCATTGTATTCTGTTTATAATATGGTCAAAAAAAAAAAAAAAATTAAATTGACAAAGTGTGCCCATGGTCATACAAGTAAAAAATTATATAAAACCAAGGAGTCCGCTCTCAAAGAAGATTCGCTGGCTGCCAAGGCGTCACTGCTAATGCAAGGCAGTCATTCAAAAAACCTAAAATAAAGGTTAGATTGCAGCGGAAACAGATCGGCGTCGTCGTCGTGATACCAATAAAGTTCGAGTAACCGGAAACGCGCATGAAATCTTTGCACGTGTGTAAGCTGACGTTTATCTGCAACTGTGGTCACTGCGTGTCGGTTGAATAGTTCTGTTGAACAGCATGCCAGCATTCAAATGAAGACAGGTCCCAAACCCCAGCATGAAGTACCTAATTCTTTGGCTAGGGTATCGAATTTGGAAAGCAAAAAATTCAATGTATTTAAAAAAAAAAAAAAAAATTATAGAATTTTAAGGCTAAACCAGTTTTCTATAAAATCTATTTTGTTTTCTTTTATAATTGAAAAATAAATATTGGTAAACTAATATTCTTCACTGAAATTTAAAAAATATATTTTATAATAGCTATTTTGTGTTATTTATAGAAAATTTAAATTGCTTACTCTTTTTGTTTTGTTTTTTTGAAAATGCCGCGTGACAACAATTTTATTTTTGGTTAAAATAGCTTCATAATTAAATACAAAGTTTCTCATATATTCACATTTTTGATAAGGACATTTCAAGGGTTAAATATAATTCGTAGGAACTTGAAATTTATTGTATGAGTAGAATATAATCTACACAATGTGTTTTTGCCAGAAATTAGTTCAATCCACCGGATCACTAGTGGAAAAATAATTTTTTTATAGAAATATAATATATATATATATATTTTTAATTATATTATATTATGCTGACTTAAGATTTATTATTGAATTCAAATTCAACTCATCCATTACAGTGATCTACTCAATGTATACATCACTCGAAACCTACAATCTAGAGTTGAGCATCATGTATCGATGATTAATATATATTATTCGTGGCTTTATCTATGTTTCCATACACCTTGAGTTTTTATTTAGAGTTATGAATTTCCACCCGATTCATTATATTATTATATTATTCATTATATTCATACTGCGCGTTATGTATTTTAAAACTTGTCATACAGATATATTTTAATATAATAATTAATAACCTTATGACAAGTGTAAATTAAATTGTGTAATATGTATTTTATCGTTCAAGACTATATTAAGATTAATGTATTGCATAGTATAATGTACATACACATAGACAAATACACCGCCAAACACGTAAAACCAGGAAATACAATGAAAATTCGTACCTATGTAATTTAATACGATAATAATATAATGTAGGTCCCACACGAACAATGTAAATTTATTGTAAATAGTATTGTATTGGTTACTACGGGCGTTGTCACTAATCCTTGCCAACAAGTGTTGTCGAATTCGCGTATTATACACAACTCATAGGTACTTATACGGACAAGTATCAGATGATTTGACAGTGCCGAGTAACGAGTAGATTGCTGTATGACAATATATCCTCCACATGGTAGTACATAATATATATTATAATGCAGATAGTCATCGGATTACGGACCGTGATGAAGATGTCGCAATTAAATATTGATTAATGTAGAGCGTTTGATAGGCAGTCGCGAACAGCGAACAGCGAAACGTATCATATTATTATTATCACGGTTAGGGGTACAAAGCACAGAACATTTTCAAATATTCATTTTATTCTATATGCCACCAATTATGTAATTGTATGGACCAAATTCGTATAAATAAGCACAAGTATATTTACAAATTATATGATTTGTAAACGCTTCAAAATAATATATATTCTGAATAACAATAAATAAAAAATATAAATAAATATATTTGTTTATAATTTAACAAGCTGAATTACCCGTCGTTGTTAATTAAATAATGTTATCTAGTAAGATTAAATATTGTCTAGTTCAATTAAATTTAAATAAGATCGTTTAAAAAAATATGTCATATTACATTAATTGTTTATTAAGCTGATTTTTATTGTAATATTTCTCTATAAACTACATTAGCTATAATTCCTGTTGGTGCCAAAATAACTAAACTCGTGGGCGTATACTGACTCTGGACTCTGGAGCATGCCACATACAACTGGCTATGTGAAAATCAATCTTCTCTTATATCGATCCCTGCAAATTTCAAGGTTTGTCCTTGTGATTTGTTTATTGTCATGGCAAAACATACTTTTTCAGAAAACTGCATTTTCTTGAATTGGAATGAATAATCTGATGGTATCATTGGTATGCGAGGAATAAGATAAAAGCTTCAATCAAATTCTTTTTTAGACCAATAATCTGTAGACGTGTCCCATCGCACAATTTTAGTGGATTAAGATTTGAAAAACAGTTATAAATTATAATTTGAAAATGGACTAATAGAAATATTTGCAGATTGCAGCCCCATAATGTTGTTCTAAAAGGAGTTTTAAAAAAAAAATTATATAAGTTTGAAAAATATTATTGCACCATACCAAACATTAAATTTGTGACCTAACAGATTTCTAACATTTTTAAACTTTATTCAGTAAATGTAAATTTTAATTATATTTTAAATGTTGAAAGTTCGTTAATGAATATATAACACATTAAAAATATAACAATCGTTATGTATGACTTAGGGTATCAAAGTCATGCAAATATGTTAAGTAAAATTTAACTGTCAAAAAGTATATATCGATTTGTCTAATATTGATTATATGTCTCATAGACTCTGCTTTACTTTTATATACATTACTGATAACAAATTGCTACAAGTCCCAAATCCCGAATTTATAAAATATACGTGGTAACTTGTATAGTTGTAGTTAAATACTTAATTGATTGAAAAATATTAAAGTATTATGCTGATAATAGATTTTTTTTATGTTATATAACCAAATAATTATGATTTAGTTGTGCATTTTCAATAAAATTTGTTTTATACAATAGTAGCAAATCRAACGTAGGTTTTAAATTAATATATTTGACGTGAAACATATTCAGGTATAAAATTAAAAATATTAGCTACAAATAGCTTTTCGTTTTATTTTATTTTTTTGTTTGTCTAATACTCTAATTCAAAAACTGTTGCTGTGTTGAAGTATGCTAGTAGTTATATATATATACAGAGGATAAATGAGTTAAGAATAATCAAAGAATTATCATTCAGTTTAAGTATCTAGCTATAGTAATTTACCTATTTATATAATTAAATAAATATTTAAAAAAAAAAATGTTTTCATTAAGTGGACAGAGTTTGATGGCAAGTTATATTTAGTCAATGACGTGTTGTCGTGATTTAATTTAAACATACATATGATTTAAACGAACTGTTAAATTGGATTCTCATAAAATTTTTTGATATTATACAGAACTTCGTCATAATGTACTACGATAATGATATATAATATCTTTAAGGCGTATTGTTCACCGTGACTTTTGAAGTGCACGTGACTCGCATAACAGTTTTTATATCTACTTAATATGATTTTTTTATTTTTAGCTGCCGCCTGGATTATTTCGCTGGGCTTATGGCCACCGTGGATTTATCTGTGGCCGATCATAGAAGGTCGTCGGACCGTGCCAGAAATTCAATGTTACATACAGTTCATACTGACCAATCAGTACATTACTTTCGGCACGGCCATTGCCGCCTTTTACGTACCGGTAACGGTCATGTGTTTTCTGTATTTCCGAATATACAGAGAGACAAAAAAGAGACAAAAAGATTTTCCAAATTTGCAAGCCATGAACAAACCACACAAGTGAGAACTTAGAAAAGAACACCAAAAATCTTTTTCATGGAGCAGTGGTTACTAATCTTTTAATACTCTTTTTAGCGATCATCAACACGAGGAATCGTGGGGTCGCATACGATCTGARTCGAATCAAGTGAATTCGTTGGATCGACGGGAAATGTATGAGACCAGTTCGTTGCGCAAAGCGTACTCTCAGTGTTCATTGGTATTTATAAACTAACGAATTTAATTTCAATAAAATAAGCTAATGTTTCCATTAAAGATATTTAACAGAATACTATTAGGTACAGTGGTACACGCGTCTAGGTAGGTATTAAATTTAATAGGTACTTAACGAAAAGTTAAAAAGTTCTTAAAAAATTAATATTTTCTTTTAGTACATTTTATAATATTTTTAAACAATTATTTCGCATAAAATGTCCCTTGTGGAAATGTAGGAAAAATATCAAGACATCGGATTGTCTCTTATTATATTCTTATATAATATATATAAATATAAGATAAAAGAATATATACCTATTAAAAAATAACCTCAAAAGCGTTAATAGTGACAATAAAATTACGGATTATCAAATTAGCTATAAGACATATATTCTTATGTTAAAAGGATGTTTTTACTTCCGATTAGTCGTTCCCGGGAGCAGCCCGAAATAATTCGTTTTTGTTAGTCGTCGAATGCGAGCAACTCCCGAGACGGCGAGTCTATATATATACAGAGCATATAGTCCAACCCTAGAGCGCGCGTATTGACCGCGTGCATTCCTCCAGGACCGACCCGGTGGCTTAGTCTGGGAACGGAAACCTAACGAATTCCCACAGGGACTGTAATAATAATCGTTTGCTCGGTAAGAGAATCCCTGTTATGTCAGAAAACATAAATAAATTTGTATTTTATTTATAACGTTCTTCATAAACAGTAAACTTGTAACATGAAATTTTATCATATTGTTCGAAAAAATAAATTATATTCAACGGCCGATAACAGCTATATAACGCGGCTTACTGAGCATTGACACAGAAATAGGTTTTTATGAGTGAATTTATGAGGCTATTTTCTTTAAGTAATCATGCAGCAGTGTGATTTTATATTACCGTATTTGAATTTCAATTTTGATTCTATTTATATTCGATAAGATATTAAGTAAATATTTTATGGTAAAGAGTAATCCTATCGAGGATATAAATTGATGCAAGTGCATGTAAAATATGTGAATGGTCTTATAGGAAAAAAAAATGGTTTGTTTATCAAAGACTAAAATTTGCATGTCACGGCGTTCAGTTTAGAATAATAAAATCTTTTAAGCCCTAAACGTATTTTTGTCTCCACAGTATTTGTTATTATTCCACCCGTAATATATTATACATATAATATAATATATTATTTTAAGTAAATATAAGGATTATTACTTCTAACCTATGATTAAACTTATTTTTACATATCTTTAGGCCTTTTGAGTTACAATATTAATTACATTACTTAATTAATATATTATTCAGATTTACTATATTTATTTTTTTATCTTTTTCACTAAGCGTTTTTGAACAGCTTTTGGGACAACGCCGTCCGAACGTCCGATTATTATCCGCTTACTCCTAATACCTACTCCTTAGCCCATACGGCTTACCAGCTAACCAACCATAACAGAAATTCGGTATATTGTTTTAGAAAGCGAGGCGCCTGCTAACGTGGTCGTGGCTGCGTGATTGGTGCGTGGACTGGTGGCACTCAGGCCGCGACGACGAGTACGACGAGGAAGACGACCAGACGCCGAGTGACGTGCCCGGTGGCATTAGCTACGGTACGACTGTGTCCAGGTCGACGTCGCTGAATGTTATACACCAGCAGCAGCCCACGACACCGACGCCGATGAAATCTTATCACGCGGTCAACAACAATAACCGGCTGGCCAATCGGTCCTTGTCAAACGACTCGGTAAGTACGCCGTTAATTTGTCATACTAAATAGAGTACATATTATTTAAAAGTTCTAAAACCCATTGAAAATCATTTAAAACAAAGCGAAAAACCCCTTATTATATTTTATTACTGTAAAATTGGGTTTTTGATGTTTTTTGGTTTTTTTTTTGATTAGCTTCTATTAGGAATTCTATGAAAGCTCTACAATATTATGCAACAAGAAAATATTATTACAGCTAGTACAAATAAAATACCAAACAAGATTAGTACAATATTTTTTGTTATTATTTATTACTTTTAAAATTATACCAACAAAACTGTTAGTATCATGAAACTTCTGTACCTAACTTTGATTTATAATGTAACAGGTATGTAGGTAGTATAGGTTAGGACGGTTAGGTTATAGTATAGGTAAATTGATATTTATAATTATGCATTTGATATAAAAATAAATATCTGATATAGGTACTACAAGTAAAATATGCTTAATTTATATTGAATTCCAATTTTATTTAAAAAATTGTCATCAAGTTTATTATTTCAAAAGAAAAATACAATTAGTATATTTTTTGATGTGAAACATGTATAATGCGGCGGGCGAGACCGGCTGTTGGCTTGGTGACGCTCATAACGTACGCATGCGCAAAAAGCACGCAATACGTGAAACATCTTAATATGTGCTTTATAATAATAATAATTTTTCTTAGATAATCTAAATAATTTGTTTCGGATTATGCCATGTTTATTTCCTTTAATGTACCACCCTGTCAAATGTAACGAATATTTTCTATACAAAATAATTTCGATGTTTTACATCCCGTGACGGCTCACTTTTTTTTATTAATTGCTAGTTAAGTTAGTATTTTACCTACAATTATTCTAAACTTTACGAATCACAAGCATAATATATTTATTTATATAAATATTTATAAAAAATAATTGTCATTTAAGACCTTAAAATCAGGAATTTATTGCATTTAAAAATGTCGATTTTCTTGTTATCAATTTCTATTGTTTTTATTTATATTAAGTCTTATTTTTTGTATAATTTTATCTGTATTAACTSTCGAGCTATTATAGTTTATTACCAAAAGCTATTAATAAAAAAAAAAATGTTGAAAAAATAATAACGCTCGGATTTACATAATATTATAAATTTTACCAACGAAATCAATTCGATGCCATCAATTAAATAATATTTGTCGATAGAAATAGTATACTATGCATAGGCGCAACTAGACCTCTAAAACGTGGGGTGCTATACTATTAAAAACATAAAATTGATGTTATTTTATTATAATTATAATAGTTAGATCTAAAATATCAAGGGGTGCTAAATTAGAACTTGGGGGTGCTAAACACCCTTTTGCACCCCCCTAGTTGCGCCAATGATACTATGTAATATATTACTTATGTATTAGTATTGTTTTATCTATATTACTATTAATTAAAAGAGGATACAATAGTATGAAAATGTATTTTAATTCTATTTCACGTTGAATTATAATAATCTACTATATATAGTAACCTTCCCGTCTACGTTAAGTGACGCCACTCGGCATCCGATGTATTTTTAAGTTTATGAAAAATCAAAGTTCAAAAATATTATCATTGCGTACACGTCGATATTGTACGTCATGAATCTGAAATGTCATATAATCACAAAACATAACATTATGAGTTTTTGTTTTATTATTTATTTTGTAATACTTCTTTATATAGCTACCATGTTCGAAATTCATAATTTTATCTGAAAAGCAAATTTGTAAACACACATGGACATTTAAGATGAAGGTCGAGTGGGTATATCAAATAGATTCCTAATATTTTTAGAAATGACGGTAATCGAATTACAAGGCATTTTCAAGTAAGACAGACGTCGAACGATAATATATAGACATTTTTTTCCTCCTTTTTAAATTATATCGTTGTTATCGTATAGACTAAAGACTCTTTAAGTTACATATAAATATATAGTATGCGGAGGATATCTGCATGAGTATAATTTTTTTCAATTTTTCTCGAACGCTTAGATATTAACACAATTCCGTTGTCCATATAATATATATTTTATTTCTCTATTATATTATATGACCTCATTAAAAACGTCAAAACACGTATAAAGTTATACGATAAAGGTGCGTATAATGTTTTGACATGAGACTATGATTATTATTTTGATTAAAATTCATTCCAAAATCATCTCCCTCTCACCATAAACCTATTGTTAATATAATGTCATATTCTTGAAGAAAAATCGTAGTAGTTTTAAAAATATCATTGAGCGCATCGATACTATTAGTTTTAAAAATATCAGCTCAAACACGACAGCAATACCAATAATATCAACTACCTACTAATAAAATAACAAGAATAGTGAAAATAATAGCAATAATAGTAATAATAATATGAATGCGTGGTCTTTTCGTGCCACGTTCGATAATAAAATGTGCAGGTGTACACGATCGTGATTAAGTTGCCGGGCGACAGCGACCTCCAAGACGCGCCGTCTGTGAAGCAATATCACGGGTGTTACGAGGAGTCACGGCGGCACGGAGCGGGCGGCCCAATGTCACGTAGGCCGTCGTCGCAGGACATGCGGTTGCCGCTGAGCGCGGCGAAAATGGTGCAGCCCAAGCAGCTGACCCGGGCGCAGGGAGCCGCTTTCCAGGCCAAGGAGAAAAAGAAGAAGAAGTTCCAGGAGAAGAAGAGCGAGCGGAAGGCGGCCAAAACTCTGTCGGCCATACTGCTGACGTTCATCATCACGTGGACGCCGTACAACATACTAGTGCTGCTGAAGCCGTTCACGGCGGCCACCGGCGGCGATGACGGCAGCGGACACGAGGGCGACAGCAACAAGGAGTGGGTGCCGCAGGGCATGTGGGACTTTTTCTACTACCTGTGCTACATCAACAGCACCATCAACCCGGTGTGCTACGCCCTGTGCAACGCTACGTTCCGCATGACCTACGTGCGAATACTCAAGTGCAAGTGGAACACCCGCAGACAGCCACCGCACTTCCGCGCGTGATAATGACCGCCGCCATCACCGGTTGGCGGCCATATAGCGCCATAGTTACCGCATGTCCGCATATGTTTAGATAATAATATATTACTTTTATATATTATTATATACAATTTTGTTTTTTTCGGTTTTTTCTCGTCGCGCGGCCCTTTCCCCCACTATCATGCACCACCGACAAACGTGCTATTGTATATACGATTGAGCACGTTGATTGAGCCATTGATTGTGTGAATTATTGACTATTGAGTGCCGACTGAGCATAATAAGCACATCAACGGAATAGGTATCGAACACTGGGAATATAAAATATAATTGATTACGATTTTGTGGTTTATAATAAAAAAATAAATTGCCATCTCAATTTGTGTGAGAATAATATTATGTTTTAGTTGAATATTCGAGTCACCGACGATTTTCGTTTCAATAATTTTGGTGACGTTTTTAATATTGAAAAAAAATTATGCGTGTTCAATTGTTAATAACATTTAAAGTGTAGCTTGAAAATAAAAGTGTGCTTAATCGTATATTGTCCGTGTTAGGTTACATTACGGGTTACTATACTCATTCATATTATTTATGACAGGGCAAYCTCGTAATACACGTGTGTTTAAAACTGTCGGAGAACGTTCCACCACTAGTGTATTGCACGGTGAATGTAGGGTGTGCAGCAGAAAGGTGCGTGGGAGCTGCAAGGCCGCTAGATAAAGAACACTAAAACTTATTGAAAAAAAAAAAAAAACTAAAAAAAATTAATAAAATGATTTTAAGACTGTTCGCGGGATCCACATGGTTATCCAGGCATAAGCGTGTATTTTATAAATTATTTAATATGCCAACGAAGGCACACGCGCGTATAACATTTAACGTTTGTATAACATGTTATATCATATAATGTCCATAGGTGAAATGTACCTACGTGAATATCAGTGGCGTAAGACATGCTGARGCGCATTTACGAAGCATCCAAATCTGTCTCCGTGGCACTTTTTAACTCTCTTTTTATTTTATCGATATTTTTCGCGGTGTGAGGAACAATCATCTTTATAAGTACCTGCCATATTACATAATATTGAAACGATTTAAAAAAAAAAAAAAAATGTATCATCTAAAAAATATCCTTGCAATGCGCAACAGAAGTGCTAATACTAGCTGTGTAAATTTCCCAATTACGCCACTGATGATAATATAATATGAACGCGTGCGACCTATTGTTTGTATAGCTTTTCATCGGCCCATATCCATATTATAATAATGATAGTAATAGTAATAATAATATAAATAAATATAGTAATAAAGATAATAACAATAATAATATATATGAACAATAAAGATCGAGTGGTTCATAGARGTTATTGCAAGGAAGACGATTCGAAAAGCTTGTYTGCAAAGAGGCGTTATGGGATTTCAGCCAAATATAATTAGAGAACGTGTTCGATATCATCATTATCATTATACATAAAGGCCAACAGTAAATAATACCAAATATAATATGTTAGGTGTATCGTGTATGTTCAAGTACTAATAATTTAGTGTAATTTATTATCAATGAACGGACAGACAATGGACGAGATTATTATTATTATTATTTTTTTAACAGTAATTTGAATAATTTGACTAAAAATTTAATTTTTTTATTTTATACTAAAAATACACTCACTTCAATATTTATTTAAATTCAAACACGATACACGTGATTTTCCGATGTTAAAATTATCATAGCATATTATAAATAAACACTGGTTTAGTGTCATGTACATTTAAGGTAGCTGAAATTTGTTATTAAATTACCAAATAAATAAAACCATAATATAATAGTATTATTTCATAGTGACAGCAGGGGAAAAATAAATGGTACTAAAATTAAATATTTGTTTTTATTTCATAAGTAATTGGTTAACTTTTAATGTGTCTAACGCCAACGTAATAGTAACGTATTGTCAAATAGCCATACGGCATAAGTATATTATTGTACATGATATTAGTTTATAAGTATATTAGCTTTTAAGCGGGTTGAAGGAAGTAAAACATATTTCTTTCATAAACTACGTCTATTGATTATAAATTAAAATTAAAAAAGAAATCTGTTATTTTGATTTTGACAAAATTGCAATATGTTCAGTAATTTTCGGGAAAAATGTACAGGGAGATAATAACAATCGGTATAGGTTAACACGGCCTTAATATTTTCAACGCTGAATTTTATAAGAACATTTTACCTGTAAAAATAATGAATAATGTTTGCAAACAAAACCATTTGATGATTAATTTGTGTATATTTTTGTGGAGCTTATAATTTTCTATTCATTGTACTGAAATCTACTGTGACTATAAAAAKTCCTAAATATTTCTGGTTTTAATGAACGATTTCAAGAGATTTAAGAAATACATCTAACATCTTACAAACATTTTATAGGTACTCATATTCATATACCAAGCATGCTGTACCCAGGTTTTTCTTTTAATAAAGAACTTATTCAGATTCTGATTGTATCGGAGTTATATTTAATTATACAATAAGGACCATTATATTTTTAAATATTTAGAATTTTTTACACAATTTAAGAAATATCTGATGTGGTTAAAAAAACTTATTAGTTTCAAATGAAAATAACTATTTTTCATAAAAGTTTTTAAGTAGATAACTATTTTGAAATTGTTGATGTATCAAAAACGAAATTTTAGCGAATAGTTTTTGAGTTATTTGACTTTATATAACTATAACTTTCATAGGTACCCAACAAACATTAAACAGGACGCTKTTTGTCCCTTTTTTAGAAAATGGTCCCGTTTTAATTCCATTATTTCTATATTATTATGTGTACAAAAAAATKAATCAAAGAAATAAGTACAAAAAAAATAACAATATAATATACAGTTTAAAATTTGAAGCTTGAAAGTTATTAATTATAATAGTTTTTGTGGAATGAGTGTTGATTGTGATGATTTATAATTTAAAAAATGATKAGTAATCAACATCAATCCAAAAAGAGTGAGAATACTTTGACCAATTTTTCCAACCTCACAACAAAAACTAATCCAAACAAGACGTGTTTTATTGAAATTGTTTTTTTTTTTAAGAATATTTACCTCCAACTGTTTGTCCCGTTTTTTATTTTTTATAAAAATGGTCACCCTAGCTTTAAAGTTACCTTCTATAGATGTATGCAATAATAGGTTAGGGCTGCAATAATGATTTACCATAGGGCACTCTTGAATGATACTTTTAACAAATTCAAATAGTTTAAAATATTGTCCTTAAGTATGGGTACTTAAAAAATCGGAAAATTTTGATTAATTTATTATTTAAGGAAAAATTAGAATAATCATGCTTGGTGGATTACCCTGTATATTGTATATATAATATATAAGTTTAAAGACCGACAAACATCAATTTTTATGATCAAGTTTTCAGATTTGTAATGAAACTTATTTTTTAGGGTGAAGGTAATAGGTACCTATGCATAATATGCATTTTCCATCTGTAAATAAACGTATAATAAGATATTCAGGTTGAAGTTTTCCGTGGTAGTGTTTTCTATTATCGGTTGCCGTCTAACCTTGTTACCGATTAATTTTARAGTAGGAATAACATAAACACACTTGAAGGAATGATCTCATGTATAAAAAGTGACCGATTTGGGGGTAAAACCAATATGGGGTAATTTCTTTATGTTTTAGGCCTGTACATAAATATGTTCCTAAAAGCAGGGACCAAAAAATGGGTCGAAAAGCACTTATTATATTAGGTACAAGGGATTGTCCAAAGTGATACAGAAACTTTTCTTTTTATAATTTAAGTCTTGTACAAAACAGCTTTAATAAGAGAAGGGCAATGTGTACCAAGGTTGTTTTCAATAATGGAATATAAATTATAAAACTTTTATCATTATCTTAGATGTCCTTATAACTCCTAACAACTGCCTTGAACAATTTTTACTATTTGAAATTTTTATATTTTCAAATTTAGTCAAAATGTAATATATTTATGTATAACCGCCCAGTATAATAAAATATAAAATAACATACAATTTAAAATAGACATTTTATCGAATTTTTCTTTTTATATTTTACCATATAACTACCTAGCTAGGTACCATCATATATGAGATATAACTTAAATGATCAGATTAAAAACCTATTTGCCTGCATAGAAGTGATTTAGTACCTACCTATCTATATGTCTGATACGTGAAGTTGTGATTAATTGTTATATATATAAAATATGATTTACAATTTATATTTATTATATAAATTGAATGTGAATTTAATGAAATTTAATCAACGATATTAAAATATATTATAACTTAAAAACTATTATATTTCAAAGTACTTATACTGTTATTAATCATAAACAAATTGTACTTTAAAATAAAATAATTTTTTTTTATTAGTTTGATATTCTTAAGAATCGAGGTGTATAAATTATATTATTATCAAAATTTGTACTATTGTCAACAAAAAATAAAAACAAAACAAAACAAATATATTTTTTTAATGAATATTAATAATATWTCTAATGTTTTTTCAGGCGAATTATTGAATTGTCAATAGGTATTTTGATGATGAAACAAATTACTACTTTTCTGGTGAGATAGGTGCCAACAGAAACTGAGGAACAYTGAATGGTCTGAATGTTTGTTACATGAAATTTCGACACTTCATAGTTTTACCTACGTATCGCGACACTAGCCATCGTTCATTATAACTCTAAATTGGGGAACAATAAAAATCAAATAAATTAAAAGACGATTCTAAATAAAACTCTTAGTTTCCTAAGTATTGAAAAAGTAATATTGTTGGTTTAGTATTTATAAAATAAATAATAATATAAAGATTATAAAGTAAGACTAGATAATTAATAACTTATGAAGTTATAAGTATGGAAAAATAATGAAATCCTCTGAGTATTTTTATACTATACCTATATAGTTATTTAGATAACATTCTAAAAAAATCTAATATAAACATTACGAACTTTTTTATCATTAAAATTAAATATACTTCACTCTGTTTATCAAACAAAAATATTAAGTAATAGGGATGTTTACAGAACAAAAACATTAAGTAATCAGGATGATAAATCACATAAGTATAATATACAAAAACATTAATGAAGAGGATACCATTCATTATACCTACTAGAATCATAGAAAAATTCATAACAGACTTGGATACCCTACCCACTGTTCTTAATTTTTGGTTTGGTGTATCCAATTAATATTTATTATTATAATATGAAAATGCTTTCTAATTATCATTGCTAACAAAGTACTGGTTAAAAGCAAAATGTCTATGTTGTACTCAGATCAGAGAGAGAAAGAGAGAGAGAGACAAACAAACAGATAGAGTGAGTGAGAAAGCGGAGGGAAAGGGGAAAATAGTGCGCACTGCGCCGAGTGCTGACAACTATCCTTAATAACTATTTTTTTTATAGTATATACCTTGTTGGGCTAGTTGAATAGTTATCAGTGATAACTATTTAAGTAGGTGATAACTTATTACCTACTTAAAACTACAAATTGTTTTAATATCATATTTTTTAAAAATGTTTAAAATAAAAACAAATAATTATTTTTGAATGCAATATTGTAATAGGGTAACAAATACATTCTCATTTAATTAAAATTAAGTCACTACGTTAACTAAAAMGTTGTGGTAATGGAAAAAATACTTCTCATACTTGAGTTTACAATTATTGATAACATGGGTCTTTTGATTTTATCCTATTTTTTAGAAAGTCCTGCATAGAATGTCAAAAAACTCATTTTGATGGCAGAATCTTAAAAAATAGTAGGCATTACAATATAAAAGTTTTGCAGTCAATGGTTTTTTTAAACTGCCACTTGTATCAAAGCTTTGAGCAGTGGCATCATTCAAACAAAGAAAAAGTTTTTTTTTTTGTATAGGTACTCATGCACAGAACGACCCTCATTTATTCTTATAATCAACTTTGTGCAAGAACAACGGTTTCTATATTTTTTATATTTTTTTATTTTTTGATAGTAATTCTTAAGTGATTATTTTTAAATAAAAAATGATATTGTGTTCTAAAAAATAATGTAACCGGAAATAAACGCATCAGTATAATATAATATGTGGTTATACATTTTCTACATAAATTAATCTTATATAAAAACTAACATTGGAAATCATAATAATATTATATAGGTATAGGTACAAGCGGTGGAAGACATAAGCGCCAAAATAAGATAAGAAAAAAAAGTCGTATCCTACAAAAGCGCCAAAATCGTATCGTTCATAAGCGCCAAAATGGGATAAGAAAAACAATTCGTATCGTGCAAAAGCGCCAGAAATTAAATGACAGATATTAAATTTAGAACTATATCGCTCAAAAACTCCAAACGCTTAATTTTAATCGACAAAATATGTATTATCTGATTACGRTAGATTGTCAAATAGACAGTGTATGAGCAGTTTGTGTTATAACAAGTATTGTATTATAAAAAATCGACCAATTTATTAAATCTATTGAATATTGATGTGCATCATCAATCAGGTAGGTACCTATATTATAATTTACTATCGACATAATAATATTAATATAATATAATTTTTATAAGATATAGAAATTTTTAAATAACTACCTACTTAATACTTATATAAAATATTAAATTAAATGATAGGTCATTTTTGTACCTTTGGCGTTTATGTCATACAGCCGGTACAAGGTACGTACAAAGGTATTGTAGTTATGAGTGCGTCTGAACATGAGTGCTGATTGTTAGGGTGCTGTAACACTCAAGCACCCCATGATCCATTCCATGGGATGCAAAAATTAATAAAACAATAGGTACATAATATTACGTAGGTACCCCATGCATTTCGTGTAGGTAATCGTGCTTATGGGCGTATATATAGCATATTATATACTATAAAATATGTTTTTATTTTTATTTATAAAATAAATGTGGTATTATTATATTTATAGGCATGTCATTAGTTTATAAAATATAATATTTGTGAAAATAAAGTTAAAATGTATAAAATTATTTAATCATTCAATAATAATATACAAAAGTAATTCTCTTATAAATTTTTTTTTTAATTTCCGATCAAAATTGGTCTTAAAAGGGGCTTATACGTTATACATATTAATATAGTGTATTTTAATATCACTTATGTAGGTACCCATACTTAGTTTCATTAGTGAGAAAATAGTGGCAAGGCGTAATCGGTTTATTTATAATAGGAAGATTACCTGCTGTATGGCTATATAACTCAACTATATAATAGCTGGCAATTATGGCAAAACCAACAGAACTATACTCGTTGGATCACAGTATTTAAATCAGAGAAGAAACTATTACTGTTGAATAGTGTCATTATTGCATATTTGCATATCCTGCTGGCTACTATCCGTGTGCATACCAATATTTAGGAACGGAAGTGGGAACAAAATACCATGGTTTGTTCTAAGAACGACAAGAACGCTATTTTTTATTTTTTATATATTTCAATGAATTTTTTTGATTTATTTGTCTATTCCTGTTCCGTTATATTTTGTTAAAATCCATTGAACATTAATTGTTCTAAAAATTATGTGGTAGTACCACAACACTTTTATTGGAAATAATCACTAATATAAAATATTACTTATCTTCTCTACATCGTGAAATGGAATGAATAATTATTGTGGAGTACCTAATGGTATATGCAATTTAGCCGTGGTGGCATTATATTACCATTCTGCATATTATAAAATAAAACCCATGGGAGTTTCTCATCTCATTGGTTGATAAATATTAATATTGGTTAATATTTGGTACAATAAAATATTTAAATTATGTATTATTATTGAAGTGAAAATTCTTTACAGAGTGTACGAAAAATAACCATTATAGTCGTCTTCGACCCCGTGATTGGTTTTTTATTATGTTTTATTAAGAACCTTTGGAAAGTTTCACTTCATCCATGCRTACACACAACACGCATTTTTTTTAAGGCATGTCAACTGCTTGGTTATTATCCAGTTTTTACTGTATGTAACCAATCGCACTTTCAGAATCGTAAATAAATTTAATTGATTTAAATTTTTTTTCGAATATCCTAGCTCCTAGATTTTTTCATATTTTTTACGTTAATAAGTGATAACTTATTTCAATAACGTGGAAAATAACACGTTATTCCATAGAAATTACTTTTAAAAAGCATTCCATTATTAACTGTAGTTCGAACATTTCATTTATTAGTTTTTGTATGCAATTWATCAACCCACTTTTCGATTTCTTATACATTATTAATTAATCATTTACAATATTCAGTTTCAACTGTTTCAAGTACAAAAATTAACAAAATGCAGGTTTATTGTACTACTTGCCTATGCTAAAATATTATCAAAGAAGTAATTTAAATATTTTATGGCGCCAAACATTGTACCAATGAGAAAGCCATTTATTGTTATGGTTATAGGCATTGACCTATTTTAATAGGTTAAATGGTTATAGGTATTCTGATAAGCAGTGCATCACGGATCAGGAGCTTGTATATTTTGCTTATTTCTTCGCGAACCGTGGTATAATATGATATACCAGATTGCTTTTTCAACGGTTTTTCATTTAGCTGATAACGTTAAACTGATAACAGTACAATAATTGAATAATAATACTTTTTATCATGGTACAAACAATATAATGTCAGTGCGACAGTCGTGCGTCACACACGATACACACACTCCCTCACTCATTCTCAACATTCTTACAGTAACGCACTACTACTATTACACATTTAAGTATTTACTGTTAAAAGTTAAAACTACCAATTCAATAACACGTTGTTTTCGTTTTTCAGTATACTGTACTAATTAAACTTAAACGTTCTAGTTCTCAATCAATTCAACTATTGACTTTTCATTTTGTCAGTTTTTAAATTATTGTGTGGTTTAAAATTACCGTAACTTATTATGTTTTCGTTTTTGAAGTTTTTAAATTCTAAATCGGATGCTGATAAGAATAAGGGGCCCAACAGCTTAAATGGTAAAACTTTAAACCAAAATAGTCCACAGGCCAGGGCTCTCAATGTTTTTAATAATAAGTCACCAAAATCAAATGGAAGTAGAACTTCATTAAGGTATGTTAACAAAAAAAAAGTGTATTTTCTATTTTGGAGCTATAATTTTATATTTTTGTAAGACTAATATACATATACATGTACTTAAGTCTAAAATGTAATACTTGAGTAATTTACATACATAAGTACAATTCTATAAATATGTGTATTAATATCATAAGCTTTTTTTTTTAAATTAAAAAAAAAAAAAATATACAATCTATTCACAAAGGCAAAATAAGAATATGTGCTACAATATAATTTAAAAACATGAATAAGGTGAGTGAAGGCACCATCCAGTGACCGCACTTTTTTTTGCTTAAATATAATTTGATATCATGAGCTCCTTAATGTAATTTTCAATTATTAATATTACCTTTAGAATTTAATAGTTTACCAGATGCAGGGATTATTAGCTATACTTAAAGTTGAGTTAAAAAAATATGTTATATATTTATCGGATTTTTAAATAATCATAATTGTATGTTAACTTATAATAATAAATAAATAACTATGAAGGTTTTCATTATATTTAAATAATACTCAGGTATCTGTTTGTTATTGCTTTGCCATCATACCATATACATTTGATCATCCCCCTCCCACATGGTGACAATCTACTATGATATATTGTATATTTATTTCTGTATATTGTTATAACATTTTCAATTTTCTAATATAAATAAATAGTCATGATAAGTAAGTACTTATATTGTTTACAAATACTAGTAACATAGTTAATAAAAGTGCACATAAATTAACTCAAAAAATCTCTTGAAGATCCTTGAATGTCACATATTTTATTTGTTTTTATGATAAGATTTTGTTGTAAAAATTTAAAAATGGCTCACATTTGAATTAATTTCCTATAATATTTTAAAATAATTATTTAAATTGCACATAATCTCAAAAAATGCTTGCCGATAAACAAACGAACATGGCTATAATAAAATTAAATTTAAAATATTATAATATAACAATATTTACATATTTTTTTTTGCAGATTATTAATATAAATATATTTTAAATAATTATTTGTATACTCCAATAAAAAATATTAACAAGGATGATAATTCTCATGTATTTAAATATTTCAAATCAAAGTAGGTATACCATTTGCTTCACATCAAAAGGTTGATTTTTCTTTTTTAATTAAAGCATTTTCAATTGAAAACTGTTTATAATCTTTATTTTTGTATTAGGTAATTAATAATTTCAGTTCTGTGTAGTGTTAAAGTATAACAATTTTAATTTAAATACCTCAATACCTAAATCCTATTACTAATTTTATAAATGTTAAGCTTATTTTGATTTTTTTTAGAAATAGTTTGAATGGTAACAATTTAAATTATGGCAATAACACATCAAAAGACTTACATGATAAGAAGCGGAAATTGATGGAAACATTAGATAACTTTGGAATGAGAAAAAGAACTCGGCAAGAGGTAATATATGAGCTAATATTTATAAGTACATCTGCTTAATATGGATCAAAGCATTATTGAACTATCATTATTAATTTGAATATAAAACATGCATTTATACTATATTTTGAATAATAATGCCCACTTCCATGTATGCTTACTGAACTACCAGAATTGTTCAGACACTCTGATTTGATTCTGGTGCTGCTGTGTATATAGATAACAACATATTATTTCATTTCTTGCCATTTWGATACTTAATAATAATTAATAGCAAAATTAAAAAAAAAAAATTGTGGAAATATCGAATGGTGCGTCTTTTGATTCATTGCGGAATGAATCAGTAAACTAGTAGTGTAGTATCATGATAACTATGTGATATTCTAGCATTTCTAGCTCAGTATGTACACATCATGTGATGTGGCGGCAGACATCAGCGCTAACTGGTTTTTGGTGTTGAAGTGGGTATTCTTATCATGAATAGAGATTAGTTTAATACATTATTTTATTTTAATTTAATAGTATATTAAACTTAAACAAATTAGTGTAAGTAATGCAAATTAAATACYTATCTATGCATAAGGTAAATTATCAATAATTTGCTTTGGAATTTCAGTTAATTAAATTTGTCAAACGCCTTAAAAAAAGATTTTTTAAATAATATTTTTTTTTTTGTCAAGTTCCTGATTTTTCTATGCTTAAAATTATGGTATAAAAATTGTTTCTATAAAGCTATTATAATAATATATGTATATATTTTTTGTAGCAATATACAACTTATGTATGTGAATTGATTTGAGTGGTAATATAACGTATAGGGACAAACTTTTAAAAGCAATATAGCTAACAAAAAAATTTATATACCATAATATTAAGCCTACAAGATATTAAAAGAAAAAAAATGTATGGGACCATTAAAGTGCATTTTGCTGATTGTTTTTTTAATTACTAATATTCAATTCAATTTTAAAGAGTGGTGTTGATGCATTTGTTAATCGATGTCGAAGAACTATTAGTGAATCTAATGCACCTGACCATGTGATGAATGGGCATAATCATAGATTCAACCAACCTACCCCAACAGTAACAAATTCTTCAAGTGCCAAAGTAGAAAACAAAAAGTTAGTAATAGCCACTGATAATAATATGTTTAAAATATGCTTGTCTTTTTACATAATATATTCCTTGTTAAGTTGGTCAAATATTTTGACTATTTTAAAAACAGATTTATAATTTAACTCAATTTTTAATGTCATTTAGTTATTTAATTTATATTAATATGTCAGTAATTTATGTATTTTCTGTCTAAAATAGTATTACAATAGTTAATCTAATAAGCTGTTATCATTACCTATATTTTTATGTCTAACTTGTTATTTGTTTTATTAGAACTGTAAGACAAGGAGATTTTGGAACAAATATTTGTCATCCTCAGAAGAAACCTAGGACTCGGAATAATGAAATATTGAGCTCCTATAGTTCTAGCAAGTTTTTAAAGCCTGGTCAAAAACGGACTTATCCATATGGTAATTTTAATGATGTTGAATATTGAAGAACTATTATAATATCATATTTGTTAATTTATTTTGGAAATGGTTGATACTATTATACTACTGCCATTCAGAGAGAGAGAAAGCTACTCCTTCACTCATTTAAATGATTGTGCTCCGCATTTTTGTACCAGAATTTTATCCACTTTACCTCCTAATTGTCACCGTTTTGGTGCGAAAACAAACGAGTTTTGGCCGCCGTCTAGAAACTTTCTCTCGATGGCCATAGCATAGTATTTACTCTTATACTAAGAAGACATAATGCCCRTATGTGTTGTCCCTATCTTACTTACATAGCACCTAACCTAACATACCAAATACATGCTAACACTGCAAATTTAGGGTTTTTAACATAAATATTATGTGGTGTCTTACATAAACCCAACAAATATAATGAGTATTAGTATGATCAATTTCTGTTCTTACATGCTATTTTAAATGTGTCCAATGCGATGAAATACAAGGTGTTTTGTTCATATCTGTATACATTGTGTTTACATAATACAGGTTAGGTTAGGTTGGAGTAAATTAGAGGTAATAACAATTATTTATATAGATATCTGTTTTTTTGTCTGTTTTATTTTTTAATTTTTGATAGATATGAATAGGCCTTGGATTTATGTATAAATTATTCTGATAATTTAATTTGAGCGTGTGATAAATTTGTTTCAAATGGTTTATATGAGCCATAATTTGATGTTACATTTTTTTTATACAACTCTCAATAATTCCATTTTTTTTCCTAAATATTCACACAATTTGGAAATTATACAATTGTATTTTGTTAAGTATATAACTTTTTTTAATTATATGAAAATATTGTGTTCTAAAAATTACGTGTACATAATAATATTTGTCATGAAACCAAATTTATGATCAATATTGATTAGGTGATCGAGTTTTGTTGACTCAGCCAAACAATAATTTTTTTTTCATTTATCCAAAATCATACTCATGGTATTGTAGCAAGTCATCCTGGTTTAAACTGTCTGGACATTGAAAATATAAAATTTACACCCATTGCAAATGTTGAAGTCTAGTGTTCTTCTTGTCGGTACTACATATTTGGGTTAAGACTAAACCGTTGAGCTAAATAATTGTCATCAATATTTATTTTACTTTTTGTATTTTTATATACTTCCATGTTTTAATTTTTTCTAATAGTATATTAAAAAGAATTTTTTTATAACATGCCTACAAAATGTAACAAAAATATCAGTCATCTAATGTAATAACTTACGTTACAATCTGTAATGTTTTATGTTAAGTAATGTTGGTCACATTGTATTTACATTGAGGTTTATATACACTGACACATCATAGTGATCAGGAGGCATGGCAGTTACAAACTGAGTATGCACTTTGTAAAAGATCCCAACTATTTGTATTTTATAATAAAAGTTAATTATTAATTATGTATATTAATCCGAGTTATTATTATTATTTAATTATAACGGTTGAATCTTAAATATAACACAATCAATATTTAAAAAAAAATTATATATGCACTATATATTTTATAGTATATTATTTTCATTTTTATTTATTTATTTATTTGGAAATAGTTCTTTAAAATTACAAAAAAGCTAATTTGTAAATCTGATTAAAAGTTAGCAAAAAACATTTATCGAAGTCGTGGTTTTTTTTTTAGAATTTTTTAAAATATCAATATTCATTGAAGTAAATTAATTTAAAACATAATAATTTTTTTCAAAACATTTTTGGTAATTTCCTGCTATGAGTATATTTCTTAAATTATTTACTTTACATATAATTTTTGTCATATGTTAAATAAGAATCATTTTTTTTTGGTTTTATCTTTGTTATACCCTGTATATTTAGTATTTACCCTTTTTAGTTTTTATAATACATATAATTTCAAGTCCTAGTTACCACAATTTTTAACTAGAAATATTGTTCTATTATCTTGTTTACAAATTGAAATATCATGTAAAATTGATGTATTAACACAGATATTTTGTTATTACTTTTATGTTGAAGACTAGGCGTWTATCCATTAAAATGTCAGAAGTGCTAAAATTTGTAATATCAATGTAGTCCTKAACTTGATCTCACATAACTAAAAACTGTATGTTTTAGAGTGAGGCCTTCTTGTGGTTTRAGTCTTTGTAGTTAACTCACTCCAATATTAAAGCTAGCAATATAACATTTTGTGTACAGTACATTTGTAAGGGACAATACATGTAGGTATGTCATCCTTCTAAATTATATTTCAACTTCAAAATATTGTTAGTTTTTTATCTTAATCATGTTATAATAAATTGTAAAGAAGAAATATAAAAAATCAATAGGTATGTACTTAGTTCTATACTGTATTCCAATTATGATTGTAAAAAAATTATAAGGGAATTAGTGGTTTGTGTACAGGGCCAGCTCAAGGTATTTTGACGCCCCGGGCAATTTTTTGAAAGGCGCCCTTAATCAAATGTTCCATAATACATTTAATACTTTTTATACTTACCTACATATTTTGTTTAAAATTCTTATATTTATGAATAGGTAAAGGACGGCAAAACTTATTTGGATACAATTTATAGACRTATCGGCTGTAACACATAATTTTTTGGTTTTCCCGAGATAATGATTATATTATATCGTATATTATTTTTAATTATTTGTAATATAATGATAAAAACTGGAAAGTGGAGTAAAATTTATTTAAAAAAAAATGTATTATAGAATATTCCGTCATAGATAATTTAGTCATTTAGCAATTTGAATAATTAATATTACGCTAAAATTTATAAAATATTCGTATATTAAAAGCACCCCGGGCATCCGCCCGGTTTGCCCGTATCTTGGRCCACAACATACAGTTTTGCTAGYCACTGTTAGTGTGTGGTGACTACTAACCAATCACTTCASTCATACAGTTCTGAAACTGTGCAGTTTTTCCAAACTTATTTGGAATTAAGTGTATAAATGTTGTGATCTCATTACTTTTTCAAAACTTAATCTATGGTAAATTTTGTCGATTTATAGTATAATATAATAATTTCTTTAATTATTAAATATTTGTATCTATATCAAATAACTCACCGTTTTTCTGATTTGCTACTGAGTTAACATAGCTTTTGAAACTGTATATTTAGATATTTATTTATTAGAAATTCAGTTAAATATCTTAATTTTTATCAAACTGTCAACTTTTTATATAATCTATATCTATGTTGTAGATCAAGAAGACGAATCACCAGATCGTAAGCATTGTAAAAGCTGTACATGCTGTGGTTCTACTGTTTTACTTCATAATGACTGGAATAATTCCAATAAAAGTGACAAAACCACAGAAACTGACATGGCTGATGATCTAGTAACAGTTGCAGCAAGTCGCATATTTAACAGAAGTGGTAAAACCCAGATTGTTAAGAAAGTATGTATGAAAACTATACTTGATGAAGTATTTGATGACATTGATCCTATACCATATACAAGTATTGAAAAACTTGAAGAAAAAAAGAAAAAAGCTCTGAAAAAAGGTAACTTATTTTATATTATATTTAATATTTTAATATTAATTTATTAAAATATTATATTATATTATCTATAATTTAAGTCTGTATGATCATAATTATAATTGTTAATGTTTTTAAATCATAGATAATAAAAATATGGATTGGACGTTTTTCATTTGTTTTATTGGTGGTCATCAGATTTTATGAAATTGAGGCGAATTGTTTGGAATTTAAAAAGAATTTGTCATATAATCTAAATACAATAATATCTATTACTGTAAAAATATAGCCTCAATTTCTTATCAGTTTAGGATCTCAAAAATATTATAGTAGCCTCAATTGTTAATGTCCTATCCATTTTTTTTTTTATATTTTAAATATAAATAAATAATGGAAATTACCTGTTATTATATTCTTGAGAGAAAATGTAACCATAGTTTAGTATTAAAAGTTTTAAAATGTTTATCCTCGTGCACATTAATGTATAAGTATAATAAAATCCTAAACATATCATGTTCATTAATAATTATTCAAATAATTCGKTTTAGGTGATGATAATTTTCAAACTGGAGGTCAAAATAATTTTAATAATGACAAGGATAAACCATCATTTGAGTCGACTGTCCCGACATCTAAAACAAGYGAATCTGTAACAAATTCATCTACTGTTAGTGATTGTTCTAAAATGAATAATAGCAACTTGCATATACAATTTGAAACTGGAACGTCAACAGACAATTCAAAGAAAGAAGCAGCGCCATCATTTACACTTGGAGTACCCAAAGCTGATGAAAAGCAATCAACACCTATAATGCAATTTGGTGCAACTAAAACAGATGCCATTCAATTAACACCTAAAACACCGTCAGAAGGAACAAAAGTGTCAGAAACCCCAACATCTACTCAATCGTTATTCCCTATTAATAATGAAAAACAATCAACACCTGTAATGCAATTTGGTGCAACTAAAGTTAATGATAAACAAACAACACCTGTAATGCAATTTGGTGCAACTAATGTAGATGATAAACCATCAACACCTACCATACAATTTGATGTAACTAAAGCTGACGATAAACAATCAACGCCTGCAATGCAGTTTGGTGCAAATAAAGGTGATGAAAAGCAATCAACACCTGTAATGCAATTTAGTGCAACCAAAACTGATGCCCTTCAATCAACACCTAAAATGCCATTTGAAGCAACAAAAGGGTCAGAAAATCTAACATCTACTCAATCATTATTCTCATTTGGTAGTGAAAAACAATCAACACCTGTAATGCAATTTGGTTTACCCAAAACTGATGTTGTTCAATCAATACCTAAAATGCCTGTTGAGGCAACAAAAGGGTCAGAAACCTCAACATCTCAATCATTATTCTCATTTGGCAATGAAAAACAACCAACACCTGTAATGCAATTTGGAGTGCCTAAAGTTGATGATAAACAATCAACGCCTAAAATGCCGTTCGAAGCAACAAAAGGATCAGAAAGTCCAAAATCTACTCAATCATTATTCTCATTTRGCAATGAAAAACAATCAACTCCTGTAATTCAATTTGGAGTGCCTAAAGTTGATGATAAACAATCAACGCCTAAAATGCCGTTTGAAGCAACAAAAGAATCAGAAAGCCCAAAATCTACTCAATCATTATTCTCATTTGGTGGTAATCAAAAATCTATAGAAAATTCAAAATCAGCTGATCCTGTGAAATTTCAATTTGGTGCTTCAATGTCTGATAGTACACCTTTAACAGAATCTACAAATGCAGTTTTTGGGTCAAATTCGCAAAGTAAAAATGTTTTCAGTTTTGGTAAAACAGATAGTATTACCTTGCCTACTGGTAATCCTCCAAAGTATGATGCTGCAATCGAAAAATCAACTCCCAAATTACAATTTGGCGCTTTGCCAACACCAGTATTTGGAGCATCTACAGCAGATCAATCAAAACCTCAATTTAATACTTCTGTTAGTCAATCTGCTATCAATCAAGGCCCAAAATTAGTTTTTGGTAGTCAAACAGCTGAAAACAAACCAACAACTTCTGCTGCTTCTAGTATAGGKTTTGCTAATAATACAGCAAATCCCATTTTTCAATTTAACAGTTCTGGATCAAAACTTGGTGATAAACCTTCTGAGACGCCAAGTGGCTCATTTTCATTCTCTTCTAACAAAACTTCAGCAGTTTTTGGAGCTTCTGCTCCACAAGATTTAAGAGATAAACCAGCATTTCAGTTTAATACTCAAAAAACAGAAGAAACAAAAACCCAGTTTCCAGCTCCAGATTTTGGAACTCAAAATACAAATGCTCCCTTTAAATTTGGTGGGAATGAAAAACCTGTTTCTTTTGGAACTTCTTTTCCTACTTCCAACCAACCATTACAATTTGCAAATAATACTGAAAAAACAGAACCATTCAAATTTGGAAGTTCAGTCCAAACGAGTAATGCATTTCAATTTGGTGCCAATAAAACTGATGATGGTCCAGTAAAATTTGGCCAAACTTCTAACACATTTCCTACATCAGGATTTAGTGGTTTTGGTAATACAGCACCTCAACAAACCACAACATTTGGTACTGTTCAACCACCTCAACCATCTCCATTTGGCAACATAACTTCCCCAACGGCTGTACCTACATTTGGTAGTGTAGCATCACCTCCATCTAATACATTTGGAACTAATCAAAGTTTTCAGTTTGGTAGTACAAACAATGCTCCTACTAGCTCATCTACATTTACCTTTGGCAGTAATACACAACCTACTAAACCAGATGGGGCTTTTAGTTTTAATGCTGCTTCTACAACTGCTTCCCCATTCCAGTTTGGCCAAGGCCCATCACCATTGTCAACACCACAGTTTGGAGGAACACAACCTAATCAAGGTATTTACCATTTTAATCCTTAATATATTTATTMATTTCACTGTTTAAATGTTTTTAATATATTTATAAACCTAGTCTCATAGGAATGTCAACTTTCTGCTTATAAAGATAATGTTTTGAACTATGTTTCCTATARAAATTGAGTTACTACTCTACACTTAGTGAAAAGTAATAATAATATTCAATTTTTTTCTTTACATATCTATCTTTACACCTTATAAAGTTATAAAATTTAGTTTCTTTAGATCAGATCCTGGTTCAGAATGTATTTTTTATAAACTTGACAAAAGAGACTGGCCAGAATCGCCATTTAATATTAATGAATTATTTTAGATTCTGAGTGGAGTGATGAATATATTGATTTTACAATGAAGTGTGTGTGTTTTTTCGTGTGTATACGATAAACTGCTTAAATAATGCTTTGAAACTTCAGTAGCTTTTTTGATGAGATAGTGAATCTAGTTGGTGCATTGAGAAGGTCAAAGTTTAAATTCCCCAGTAGTTTTTCAAAAGCGCCAGGAAGACGAACAAATAATAAAAATTAAAAAATTAAGAAAAACAGGAAGTTTTGCACAAAATCAATTTTGGATGTTGGTGTAATTAAATAAAATTACCGTGGATACATGGGAATTTTTACTAAATATTGATATTGGCATTTCCTATACTTGTTTAAATTTTCAAAATATTTCAAATMTTTTTCAGTTATTTAAAAACATTTAATATTTTTAATAGCATGTAATGTGCTGAAACATTTTAATTTAGGCCATCTATAAATTTTAATAAAATGTTATAAGCTAAATCATGTAATACAATGCTTCTTATATTATATTGTTACAATGGTAGTTAAAAAATTTTAAAAATCTATTGTCACAATTTTTTATAGGTAATTAACGTTTGTATTTTGATAGAATGCGTAACAATGTACAAATTATTTTGTGTTAGAAATTCATATAAATTAATCTTTTTCAATCTAAGATTTGCAAATGTACKATTCCTTATAAGTTAGTCTACTTTTATCAAATAAAAAATGTCTACTGGGAAGTCATATTAAATTTTTATGGGCGATTGAATTTTAAATTTTTACAACATTGGATATCCACTGATTTATTTTGTACCGAGATTCTTATCTTGTTGTTATTCAAAAATGAATAACTGTAAAAACTTGGAATTTACACAATATATTGATAATTACACTTCCTATACTTGGTAAAATTTTCAAAATATTTCAACTCTTTTTAAGTTATTTACAGACATTTTCAATTTTTTTTTGTGGTTTTTTTTTCTATAAATGCCAATAAAACTTTATTTGTTGAGTCAAAAGCTTGAAAACTGAATACACGGTTCCTCATACATTTATATAGAAGTAGTTGGAAAATATTAAAAATACATCCACTTTTTTTTATAACTGTTTGTTTAAAGTTCAATTTTTAACTTAATTTACAAATTATTTAGTTGTTAAAAATTTATAAAATGTTATAGCTAAGGATTGAAATTTAAAACAAGGTTTCGCGTAAGTAGTTAATTCTGTAACAATAAAATCTAAAAACTATACAAATACAGTTTTTTTAAATAGTTATTTTAAGTTAAAATTTGGACAAAATTATACATTAAATAACCAAGAATAACAATTTTAGGTATTGTTGTAATTTAAAATATTATTGATGGTTACTTAACATTTCTTGAGTATACTTTATATTCTAATTGTATTGGTTAATGTTGATAATGACTTATACTAATACTTGATAATATATTGTATAATATGCTATGAATGACTGAGTGAGTCGGGTATCGGGGTACATAATAAATCTGAATTGATTAATTTGGAATTTATTTTATTGGTACCTACATTTGTTTTTAAATAATTACAATATAATGTTAATATAGTACAAAATATCTTAGACTAACAAACTGTCTCCGCTCAGAATCATTTTTCATATACAATAATATTATATCATTTAATTCAAATTTAGTACCATGCATTACAGTAACCTACTTATAACTTATTATACAGCAGAACAACWTCTACTTATTCACTTTTTTTTTATTTAACCAATAGTACATATCTACTGTTCAGGTTTTTGGCATTTTGAAGAATTACTTAATGAGACTAATAATGATAAGCAACTAATTTAAAATACAATTATACAATGACAGACACCGGACATATTATTGTGTCTACTAAACTGGTGCCAATGATATGTTATCATTAGAGTAAACTAAGTTATTTCAGTATGCAAATAATAAAATAAAAGCAAATGAATATAATTTTGATCTCAAGTGATAAATAATAATATTAACATTATATTTATTACATTTCATCATTTATATTTTCGCCTTATAATACCTAAATTCAAGTTATTCAGATCAGAATTGCATTAATAATATATTACACCGTGTTATTCTTTTATCACCGAACACTCACTATTTCAAAAATTATTAATGTTTTTGAAAATATAATTTTACATAGTTTCAAGTTTATAAAAAACCACGTTTTCATTAAAAAATTATATCTTTAAGTATTTTTATCCTTATCATTTTATAAGATTTTTACTTTTTTGAAAGACAACATAGAGTTTTAATTTCATATTCCTAAGCAGAATATTTTTCTAAGTATTTCGATTCATAAAAATCGAATTTAGGGCTAGTAGTTTATGAGTTATAACTGTTATAAGTATTTAAAGTTTAGATTGGCAGAGTGGAGTGGTTACCCCACCAAATGTTTGTCCACTACTCCGCTTGTCTAAACTCTAAATACATATAACTCATAAACTACTCGTCCTAAATTCGATTTTTATGAATCAAAATACTTAGAAAAATATTCTGTTTTGGAATATGAAATTAAAACTCTATGTTGTCATTCAAAAAAGTAAAAAACTTAAAAAATGATAAGGATAAAAAATATTTAAAAATATAATTTTTTAATAAAAATGTTGGTTTTTTAACAACTTGAAAYTATGTAAAATAATATTTTCAAAAACATTAATAATTTTTGAAATAATGAGTGTTCAATGATAAAAGAATCACCCGGTATATGGTGTTCATTTAAAAATCTTGACTGATAATGGCCATTCTTACAATGTCTAGTTAAAGTTAAAGGACACTAACCTGTGGAATTCTGCCTGTAAAACTCCTATTAACTGTCAATTAACTGTTAATGAACACTTAACTGGACATTGTAAGAACTGGCCTTAAACAATATTAAATCACTATAGGTTAAAATCTAAAAAAAAAAAAATTATTCGATTATGAAAAAAAAAAAAATAGATTTCGCTAGGGCATTTTAAACAAAGTGTATTATACAATATCGCAAAATCCAGTATTTTAAAATTGTTATTTATTTATTTATTTTTTGTTTTTGTACTGTTTAAATTATTCAATAGCTCTTATAATTTTAACTGTCCCCATATTGGCTATTCTATAAAACCAAATTTAATCTATAGATACCTTATATTTAATTAAACTAAACATGTGTGTTTATAMGTTATAACTCATCATACTATTTTTAAAAATAAAACCACTCTGTAAACTTACACTTTAAGATGTAATATATTGAACTCTGACATATAAGTACAATAATTATTTTTTGTACTTATTGTATTTATTTTTATTATTCTATAGTGGTATTTTAATAATTGAACATTAAGTGTTGGTAGTTTAAATCAATTATTGTATATTTTAAAAATGTATAYTTAATTTGTTTACTCTTAACTTAAGGTTTTTAACACATTTTAGTRGTTTACTATTCTTATTTCTTATTATTGTACAACATTTTCTAATTGTATTAATTGCTATAATATATTGCATTATTTTAATATTTAAACTTATTTTGTTCTTATAGGATCATTTGGTTTTGGATCACCTCCAATGTCTGCAACTGGTATGTTTAAATGGACAGTTATAAAAATTTAATGCATTATTCAACTAATAGTTTTATTTTCTATTTAAAGTTATGCCAGGATCAAGTCAACCGTTATTCTCTATGGGAACAGCTCCTGCCGGTGAAAGACGTAAAGCTAAAGCAGTTAGAAGAAGACAATAATTTAATGATTACAATTTCAATTTTTCAATTGTTATAATACTCTTTATTTATAGAGTTTCAACATTCTATCTTTACAAAACAAACACACTGTAGTAATATCTCATAATATCCTTATTTGACTATTACAATAAGTTTGAGGTGTAAATGTAATTTATTTCTTGTATTTACATTTAAAAAAGGTCAAATTTTAATTATTTGTCAGCAGACTATTATGTTGTTGCTTCTATGGCTATTTTATTCTTCTGTGGCATTAATTTGTTTTGATTTTAAAATATATATTTTAATTTAATTTTAATATTTATTTGAATTCTTTTGTATAGTTTTTATTGACTTAATTTCTTAAATATTGTACTTCGAGTAGGTAATGAAATATTTATTTTATAAATTGTTAAAAYCACAGTATACAAATTATATGCTGTATGTAATAATGACAAATAATTTGAATTATTCAACTTTCCAAATATATTATTAAAAAAATTGTATAATTGTTATTTKTAATTATCTGCYTAAACAGTTGTGTAGATTGTATTTGTATGAGATTAAACTAACAGAATTGAATAATTGTATTATTATATTTAAGTGTTTTATTGCAAATATCTTCCAAACCAAATTACCCATGTTAAGGATTTTTAATAAATTATTTGTCTTATATGATGTAAATTGTTAAAAAGTTATTGTTGTTTCTTACATGTTTTTGTATTAATAAAAAATTAAAATGTTATAATTTTAATTTATTATAAATATATTTTCATTTATGTACCTAATAATTAATTATGTATAATGATATTGATAATAATTGAAAGATTTGATACTGTCAAATATATTGTAAAATTTGTTACGTTTTATAACCAACAATTGTTTTTATTTACTTTGTTATATGCCGTGAAATTAATTAACAACTAGAATTATGAATATTATCCTGTGATTTTATATTTTTATTTATCTTAGTAATGACTAATGACTCAGATTAATTAGTGAATGAAGGACAAATAAATAAAAAATACATTCCTTGCTCCGCTCAGAATCTAAAATAATATCATTACAAAAAATATATAACTWAGTTATCTACTCTATTTCTATAAATACATTTGTTGGTTTTACAATTATGTGTATTTTTTTTATTTTCATCAAAATATGTGATAATTAAAATGCTCTGATTCTCGACATTAACATTTTTTTTCTGATAGAAAAGTGAATTAGTACTTTCGAAAGGTCGAAATTGAAAATTCCTAAGTTTTTTTAATCGTAACTTTATCAGGTGAAAGTGAAAAAACAGTTATTTTTAAATAAATCGATTTAAAATTTTTTATATCCTAAAAGTGAACAACCATAGAATTTTGAAATGTTTACTAAATATTAGTATTTTCCGCATGGTAACATTTTTGAAATATTTTGCCTTTTTTGAGCTATTTAAATTTTTAGGTAAATCATCCAATTTTTTTGTTTTATATCTCTTTAAATTATTCTGGATAAAAACTTTTTCATTCAATAAACTTGAATTAAACGTTTAAGAAACCTTGAATTAAATTTCTTATACGTTTATTAAATAGAAGTTGAATAATATTATAAAATTTATATTAATAATCRTTCAGTCTATTAGATATACAAACGTCAAACACCGACTATAACACCACCACCAATACGGTTATCGTTATTTTGACCTCCCAAACCGAGTGTACCTACATGTAAAGATTGTCACCATCGACATCTTACATTACTCCGTAGGTAGGGCACCACTAATTTWCATTAGTTGAGACACCATTACTGTCGGGTGTGAGAGATGGGGTGGCTACTAGTTGCGTCCCGCGGTAAAAATTTCTTCCGAATTGCGGCCCGAGTTTTTTTGGGATGCATACGAATTGCGGCCCGAGTTTTTTTGAGTTACCTATGAATTGCGTCCCGGAATTTAAAATTAAATTAATTATATTTTATTATGTTATAATATGCATTGATTTTCATTCAAATATGCAAAAATATGCTAACAAAAATGCATGTTAATTAAATTTATTTAATTTAAAAATGACAAATATATATAATTCATTAAATGAGTAATATGGACAAAAAAATGTATTAAATATATATYTATTTGAAATAATTGATRTATACCTAATGTAGATATTWAGCTATGTATTTTGTATAAAGTAGGATGTTGCATTTTGAACATTCACTCATCTAAATAAAAAGTCATGAACAATAATAAATTAAAATAAATTAAGTATATTTTTTAATATTTCTAAGTTACCTGAAGAGTTACAGTTGACTACTAAAGACTTAAATTTTCAGTAAATATACTCTAAAATCGAGAAAAACATTCGTTCTACATCCGTTGAAGATATCAGGACGTACTTATAAAGTATACCAAGTCACTGCATGATAGGTCTTTCGGTTAAGATTAAATTATCTAAAATTGAAAAAACCCGGGCCGCAATTCGGATTAGACCTTTTTTCGTAAATGTTTTCGGGACGCAACTAGTATGCAGCCGAGCGATGGCAAATGTGGTCGAAAATGTTTATGCTGATTAGGTTTTTTCGTACGTGTCGTAATTAATGTCCGACCAGAATTCCACGGACTACCAGAAAAAAAAAAATGCAAAATGCATATAAATCCGTTCCCTATACAATACCTAATAATAATAGTTAGTTGATAATTACATTAAAATACATCAAATATCTATAATATTATATACGTTGAATACCTACTTTGCTTTACATATTGCAGAGATAATCTGATAACTATAAGTAGTATTATAATATCACACACTGAGGTCTTCGTAAATATATAGGCAAAATAATGTACATCAGTACGGAGCGATGTTGCCATGTGGGAGAAGGGACGTTACAATAATAGGTACGTACCTATGTCGGAACTAATTAGTCTCGTTTCATCGCTGGGCGGTACTGGTCTGCGCACAAATACCAAAAAGACAACTTGTTTGAGCACAAAACCACCACTCGTTTGGGAACAGTTGAACCGTAACCAAGCACATGGTTTGGGCACAGTTACCTTTTAGACCTTAATAGTTTAATACCTAGCATATTAATATTTGTTTATTTATATGTAAATTATTGAAGTACTTACATACATTTTCCTTCTCACTTGACAGACTTAGGACTGTCTATGAATATATATTCATAGGTATGGTTAAAAATGCATGTTAATACTAACTTGCTTTTTAATAATAATTGTTAATAAATTTATAATATGTTAAAAATGCATATAATATAGGTAATACTTGTTTGTGTAAATTTTAATTTTAATTTTAATATGATATGATTGGTAAACGTGTCTATTATTTTCCGTAAAAACAGTTTTCCATTATTTTTATGTATTTTATTTGGTCTATTTCGCCAGATCTATATCTTGTCCATAAGTTTATGCGATGTTCGACTGATTCTATTGACTCCTTACTCCTTATTTTCGTGTGCGCAATCGAGTTCCGATTTTTCAGGTAAAAATTGTAGAATGTGCGCAAACAAGTTGCTGCCTCATCGCTTGCTTTGTATATTAATACCTACAAGTCAGCAGTAAAATGTCTGTTAAGTAAATGTTTACCTACCATTTAAGAAGTACCTATTCCTGTGGCGATTCTATTTATTTTTTTTCCATATGACGAGGTATATATGAGAATCAACCCCTCTTTTAATGTAAATTATTAAGTTGATTTTGTAGGTACCAACTAATAAATCTAAATTATAATTGAAAATATGGTCGTTAAGTATCAATAATCAGAATTCAACATATAGGTACCTACATTATTTAAGGAAATAACGGGGGTGTAATTGTGTAGGTATATGCTGGGTAGGTAAATCATAAAGGATAAATAATGATGTACCTAAACTTATATTTATTACTAACCAGTTGCATAATAGGTTTAATATATAATATAACATAATAATATAATATAATAATAAATAAACAATAATATAACACACCAACTTAGAAAATGACCATATATATGTAGAGAAAATGTCCTAACAAATTGATAAAAAGAAAATATGACGGCTACACCATTACTCCTTCCAAAAAAAAGGTCATAGTTGTGCCTATATAGGTTGCTTAAACTGCTTAAACTGCTTAAAGTAATAACTAATAAGAACGTTTTAGCTCAAAAATGTTTTATTTTGATAGTACCTATAATACGAACCAGTAGGTACTCATTATATTACGGATCAGTGTGTTGAGAACATCTACGTTCATTAAGTTGGAAATGCTCACTTCTGTTATGTAAACAAATCATTCGTCCTCTAATCTTATATGCCACCCCGGTTTGGGGTCAATGTGCTACGACTCACATAAAAAAATTCAAGTCCTACAATCTACGAGTCTTACGAGTAATCTTAAATGTCCCTTGGTTTGTTCGAAATGAAGCACTACACATAAATTTTAAATTACCAACTATCAAAGAGTATATCAAGGAACTGTCAATAAGCTTCTTCGGTTATTAATTGCAAAAAGCAAGTGGTCCACAGTATTATTATTATTATTAATATTAATATCCGTCCAATAAATCGCAGACTCCAACGTGGTCGTCCCCATGACAATCTTAAATCAATAAACTTGTTTTTATGTACCTATATATGTTATATGTATGTGTATTTATCTAATTGTATAATAATTGTTTATTTAACTGCTTCGTAATGTGATAATTTTCGTTTTTCTGTATATTATCAAAAGTAAAACATAGGTACCTATAGTTCTTACTTATACCTAACATTATCTGATTTACAAAATGTCAAAAACTACTTCTGTATCCCTAAGCTAAGATGATTATTGTCAGGAAAGCTTTAAATAAATAATGAACAAAAAAAAAAAGAACATCTACATTATAGTCACCATAGTCACTACACAGTATAGAGTAGGAATTAGGTAGAGACAACAAAGCCTCAGAGGCTTGGACAACAAAACGTGTCTGTTATAATAATATTACCTATGTGAAGCGTGGAAAACAAATAGATGGGTACTAAGGGTACACGTTTTTGTGTAGTAAATAGGATAAATAAGTCAACGCGGCCACGATTAGACTTGATAAGATTACTGTAATACATACCTACCGACTTTAACACTATCAATTATGATGGTTATGGCTAACAATTTATACTAGATAGATATTAGCCGAAAAGTACAATATGGATTTAAAAGTTGAAATAATAAATATATAGCAGAGATATTCAAACTGTGCGTCGCGGGCTAGTGGCTAACAGGCGGACGTCGCGAGAGTTTGCGATAAAGGGAGCAACGTCAAAGCACTGGAAACCAAAACCATACCTATAGATCTTGTATAATTATTATAATTAATATTGTTTGCAATCATTATGGAAATGAAAATGATAAACTTCACGACGCGACCATTTGAAGTTTTATTTTTAGTACTAAAATCACTGTTATTATCACCCATATAGCATATTGGCAAAATTGTATCAATGTATTGTTTCAATTTTTTCATAATAATTTTGGCGCCATCAAAATATTTTGAACACCCAAAGAAGCTGCGGAATGAAAAAGTTTAAATACCTTTGATAGGTTAATTAGGTAAAGTCGAAAGAAAAATATTGCTTTAACAATTTAAGACATTTAGGTAGGTATACAAGATGATCTATTATCTACAATGATCATTATCTTAAAAGTTAAACTCATTTTTACAAGATTTAAATTAATCGTAACCCAATATCAATAAATGAAAAAAAAGTACAATGCAATTTCGTATTAAAAAAAATTGAATATTTTTCGGATTAATTATCAGGAATGAGTAGTTAATTAATTATTATTATTTATAATTTATAAGTATCCAAGTATTAATTTCTATATTTAGATTTCAGACTTCAATATTTGTAGTCTGTTAATAAAATATAGGTTAAAGGTGTAGCATTACAATTGTTAAAATGTCTTTGTGTTTTCCTTTTAATATTAGTTTAAATATAGAATGTATTTATTTCCAAATCTACGTAATTCCATCGAATTTACTTGGGTAGATTGATATTAGGTCCATATTTCGTTTATTATTTAAGTTGTTGAATACTATGAAATATTATAATATTAATGATATTATTATGATAGACATTTACTTATACCAGCCACTTGTGTCAAAAATATGGCAGGGTGCTGGGTAAATTTTTATCACAAGAACACTTTTAGAAACAAAACAACTTCACCAAGCTACTCTTTAAATTCAAAAAACTTCTAGAGGGGATTTGACATCCAATCAAACTAGTTAACCCCGCAATTATAACTGTAATTATATCACTGCACTGGTCTATATTCTTTAATACAGATGTGTATGCAATACTAGATGGTATATACCCAGAGTGGTAAAAAAGGGCATGGGATGCTACATAATTCAAAGGGCAAATAACAAAAATGTGTGGAGCAAATTTAAAATATGTGGAATCTACACTGTAGATCATGTATAAAATATTGAAAATAAGAAAAATTCGTAAATAGGTACCAAGTTACAACAAATATTCAAACAAAATTGTACAATATTAGATTAAAAATAAATTAGATCAAATTTTAAATCGAATATATTTTAGGGCAAGGGATGCTGTGGCATCCCAGCATCCCAGCCAGTCCGCACCTGTATATACCTCCATTCGTTTCGCTAAATATCTATAGAATACTTACAATTTATAGTGAATTTATTTCACAGAAAGATAATTTTTAAACTGTTTATATTGACATAGTTTTAATTAGTTTTATCTACTTGTTTTTATCAATTTGTAGATGACAGTTTGATTCAGATGACTAATTTCTGTCACATATATTTTAAGAATTTGTTTCACCAACATCAGCTGCACTCTTTAGTTTAAGCTATAATGATTATTTTAAATAAAAAATRTTTAGAGAATTTTAAATCTCCATTAATATGTTTTTCTTTTTTGTGTAGGTAGTAGGCACCTTGTGTTTTATATATTTGTTGAATATTATATTCATATATTAGCTACACTATAATGTAGTATACCAAGCTGCCAAGCGCCAACTTCAATTATTTTTCAAATGCAATCTTTTACCGTTGTTTTAATTTTTAATTTAAAACAATAAATTATTATAACTAATAATTTGTTTATATCGAGTCCAGCAAGTAACAGTAAAATATGAGTGATCAACAGACAGCCAGACTTAACATTTACCGTTTATACATTGAAAATTCTTGAAATAATTTTTTATGGTCGTATAAAAATATGAAATCATAATAAAATGAGGAAAGAGAAAAACCAATTTTTACAAGAAAATTATATAAATAATTTTTATGGCGATTGTAATAATAATAATTATGGGATTGAAGTTAATGGTAACCAATTTAACATTGCTTTTTTTAGTTTAAATACTAGAAACTATACACAGTTCTAAATAAATGTGAAATATATTAGTATTTTGGGATATTAAAATCAGATAGAGCAATGAAATGATAAATAAATTTGTTACTTACTTATACAATATAATTATCCCAGCTACAGGTGTTAGGGGCCAAAAAAAAAAATCAATCTCAACTATCGATAATATTATAAAGTTATCAAGAAACATATCATACTATTWAAGTTAATTTCCGAGAGGGATTAATTTTTTATTAGAATTTTTATGCTATATTCTAGTTWAGTATTAGAATTATTACAATATATAAATAATGCACCTATAAAACCGTATTCATAAAACATTTAATAATATTTTAGTTGAATATAGTCTAGGTATATTGATATAAGTAGATAAACTGTGATTATGGTTTAAAATAATAATAAAAAAAGAATTAATAGAATATTATTTATTTGTAAGCTATTATATTAAAGCGATTAGACTTTATAATACTATATTTTATATTTATATATATACGAATAATATATACTGATTAGTTGTAGATTTAACGTTAAAACATTCATATTTTTTTTACATAACTGATTTTGCGTATTTTACAATGTCAATGTGTCATGTATAAATAAATGGAATAAAGACATATTAGTATAAAGAGTATCATAATTTACAAATCATATTAATGCAAGGATATGCGATTTATTTCAATTAAAGTTTCACATTTAATATTTTGTTTATAAAATAAACCCACAAAAATAATACACACTTTGATTGAATTTTTTGTATTTGATTTTAAATATTTATTAATTGTTGGACACAARACATCGGTTGCTGGGCTTCGCAAAATAATCTAGTATATAGAGAAAATAATATAGATGTTAAAGGATATAATAATATGTTTATTTTGCTCAAATTCACTTAGATACTACGATTAATATTTCATCACTGTTAATATTTAAATTGAATGATGCCCCGTTGAGGATAGTATCACTAAAATAATAATATAATAGCTGCTACTGTATTGCGTTCAAATTATATGTAAAACAACTGTTGTAGGKAAGCGCACTGTAATATTGTTAATATCTGATATTATACTAAGTAGGTATTTTAGACATATACAATTTGTTTGACATAAGATTTGATTATTGAACCATGGACGATTTTCTATAAACAATGATAAAAGTAATTTTAAGTTTTARCCCGTTAGATAAAATCCACGTAATATGGTAACAATATAAATCGCATACAGACATAATCTTAGACTATTWCTATTAAATAATCGTATTAATAAAATAGTAATAATAAGCAAACGGAAGTCTTGAATGTGTAAACATATACACACAAAATATATTATGTAATTAGTATTATTATTTGGCATTTTAAGAAAAACAAAAAATAAATTTTCGGTCTGTTTCTTTATTAATGTAATTTATTTAKTTTTTTAATAATATGTTTCTGCGAGCTGCGTGTAGATACTGATTTTTATAAAACATTATGCATGACCGTATAAGTTTCATAGGTGGAGAATTAGTAAAATGCAAGGGAGAGGCTTAATTCAATTTTTTAAACAATCAGCACSTTTTMAAAGGCAAACGAATAAACTACTATATTATTTTAAATGTTTTATGCCCTTTATCATTAATATTACTGATTGAATATTTCTTGCGATAAACTATGATGTACACTAGCACACAACACATTATTTTAAAGAAAGTTGATGATTATCAAATATATTATAATAATTTCAATAATAACAAAAAATMAAAAATATGATCAATTGTTCAATTGTTTTTGAATAAAGGTAACRATTTTACTTATTTTTAATAAAATAAATAATTTTTTATTTTCAGTATGAGATGGGTTGAGGAGTAGGACCAAAGATAAAAACTATATTTTAAGTGAATAGCAAAAGGTTCTTATATTACGTGCTATAAAATTAAAGATGTTAGTTAAACGTTGAAACCAATTGTATTTGAGGGATAACTTTCTCTCCCCCGCCACTAATCTCCACCTATAATAAGTTTACCACTGTTTGTATGATGTATGTATCAATGTTTGTGTATGTGTGTGTATGTTTGGTGTGTGTGTGTGTTGTTTGGGTGAACATTTGTTATTTCTTTTAGTTGTTGATGTCAGCAGCAGCGACGTCATCAGCCAACTGTAGCGTATCTGCGTACTCAGTACCGGTGGTGGCGTCATAGTCGCGGTCGGCCCTTTTGCCTAGCCCGAAACCGTACTGGAGACGAGCCCGCCTGACGGCTGGGTGCCAAATGGGCGCCGTGTCGTCGCCGTCACCGTCGGCGTCGTCCCATTCCGCCCCCGCACCTCGTTTGCCCAGTCCGAAAGCGAACCGCTGGCCGTGACTCATATCGTCCGCCGTCCTCTTCTTCTCCTCCGACAAGTCGTTATACGTGTAGTCCGATTCACGGTCGTCCACGTTTAGGAATGACGGGTGCGACACCTGTTGACCATATAATATCACGAACGGCTATGRTAGTTATATTTTAATAATATGCAAAATATTATAAATACTAATAATGCACTATTATTTAAATTCAACCCAGCCCGGATTAAGTCCACTGACAGTGAAGGGCTGAAGTAAAAATAAAAATACAGTTCTGTTACTACAAGGGGTTAGAAGTGAATCATTTTCTTGACATGTTTAACGATACGGTTTAAGGATCCTGATTTGAATTTTTCATTTAGTCTTTCTGTGATCGATTCTTTCACATTTTTTATTTTATCTTTATTTTAACTTAGGACAGSAAAAAAAATCAAGGATGTGGGAAAATTGATTTCAGTTCCGATGACAAATCTGAATCTGTTTTCAGATTTTTTATCGCATACTCGAATCATTAGATCGATCGTATCTGCTCCCTCTCCTAACCCGGGCTCGTGTTCATTATATTCAACATAATATTATATCGTTGCCATCCTATATAATCTAATAGTGTAGTAACTTTACTGTAGCTTGGTATTTATAATAATATATATTTTATTCTATGTTCAGAGGCGTATTTGTCGTGTATTATGCGTACAGAGTGCCTACCAACATTTACTTATAAATTATAGGGTATATAATATTATGTAGGTACATAAGTACATTTTATTTCTATTCAAAAATGCTTCTAAAACGTTATTAGTACTTAAATTTAATGAAAAATAAAAATGAATTGATTACGATAAATAACTAATGTTAATTGTTTACGAAAAAACTAAAAAAAGTTAGGATATAGGTAGGTTAGCTTAGTTTTTAATCATATGGTTTGTTCAGACAATACTACTATAATATTATAGGTGAAAACAGAATACTGAAGTAATTATTAGATCATGGTTATGATTTTACACCTCTAATATAATTATCAATTACATTATAATTAATAATACAAGTATATTAGTTACACCTTGTAAAATAAGTGTTTAATGATTTAATACTTGTGCTTCCTAATAAATTTACCTTAAAACGCACATTTTAATAAATTAAACCATAATTGTTATTTATATTAATTATCATTATATTTTCAGAAGTTGTATGATTAAATAATATTTTTTTTTTCATTTTATTTTCATAGCTGAAAATTAATGGTCGACCGATTAAGATACAATTAAATTACTTCTGCAAAATATTTAATTGAAATTTTAATCAAAAAACGATTCAATTTTCTCTCCCAGTCACTTTTAAGATCCACAAAACTAATTAATTCAACGAAAAGTGTTTCAAATATAATTGTAGAAATAAAAATAACTCAAACATTACATTTTATTTTACTTCAAAAAATATAGTTAGGTTCAATGTTTTAATTAATTTTGGTTAAAGCAAACCATTTATTTTTTTGTTTGACCGACTTAAGTCTTAAATTGTTTTCAAACTAGTTTACATTATACTAATATACTATACCTGTATTACATATTTGTCTAAATARGCACATAACAAGTATTAACACACGATATATTGTAACGTAGATAGGTAATTAATTAGTAATGATATTGTGAAGTTATACTAAACCTCAAAATACATTAGGATATCCACTACATTTTTTTAAAATATAATACTATGTATTGCGTTGATACAAAAATAAAATCTAGAAATATTGTCGTGCTTGTTTTTAATAAATATATATTACCTATGTGAAAATATCTGTTATAACGTATGATAAATAATGAACAAAAATGGTCTTTTATACTAGTATTATGTGTACTTACAGTGTACAGTGTTTGTATAATATCATATAATATAATTTAAATCGTCACATTAATTATCGATAGGTATATTTTTCATACCTTCAGTGATCGTACTCATTTGTTATAGAATAATTTAAGATAATAATACTTAACCCTTCGGCCAAATTTTAAGGAATTTTAAAATATCTATGAATATATATATTTGTTCCTCGATAAATTTTGATTTTTTACAATATTTACTTTATATTTTACATTGTTAGATTCAGGACACAGACAGAGTTTCGATACAATTTAAAACAATCATTAACGACAACATAATTTGTATTGTAATATCTAAGCTTAGTTATCATTTTATCAATAACAATTAAATACAGTAGATTCTCGTTATGTCGAATTTCAAGGGGAACAGAAATAAGTTTGGGAAATCGAAAACTTCAAGATATCGAAATTTATAAAAAAATAATTATATAAATGTATGTTGTATAATGTATATGAATAATAAATAATATGAATGCCTATAATACATAATTTGAATACTTAAAATGCTGAAATGACTGAATAAATTCTTTTTTTTTTTTTTAAATCTGTCATTAAAGTTTGCTCAATATTACTTCTTTCTTCCACGACGTTTTCCAAATTAAATAATGCAGAAATAACCTTATCTTCCATACCAGTAGTAGTCTCAAAAAAATTCCTTAGTGTTTTTAAAGCATGTTTAGCTTGTTGAATTGTAACTTAAAAAATGATTTCTTCCTCATTTTGTGGTTTGTCTTCACTTTCACTGGTATTTTCGATAGTTTCTGATAAAACTTCGTCACAAAATCACAATCACTATACTGAATGTATTGCACAATAATTATTTGTAAATTTGAGATAACGAAAAACAATAAATTTTATATCGAGTTATCGAGRGCAAAACATTATTAAGTGTAATAGTATTTTCAAGGGGAATTCAAAGTAGTTCGAGATAATGAAAAAATCGATATAGCGACGTTCGACATATTAAGAATCTGCTGTATTTGTTATTTCTAAAATATGTATTTTTCTGATCACATTTTAAAGCCCATTTAATTTAGAGTTATCATATTTTTCACACAACTTATACTYTAAGGGTTTTAGAAATCCATTCCTATTTTATTCTTACTAAGAGACAAAAGAAGAAAAAAAAAATCACGCACATAAACTAGGTTCAGATTTTGAAAATATATAAATAATTCATTCTGTGTTACAAGAATATAGTAATTGCTAATTCATCATTCCTCTTATTTATTTCAAGTATAATTAACGAATCAATAAAATATTGTACTGCTATTAAAAATAAGTTATTTACAATGTCTTAAGAYCTCACCCTTTTTCCAAGTCCGAAACTGTACTGCGGCGAAGCTCGTCGTCCCAGACCAAAACTATAGAAGGTTGGTGATGCCCGTTTTCCTAAGCCAAACTCATACTGCTTAAGCGCAGCCCGTTTACCAAGACCAAATCCGTATTGCTTTGACGCTGACCGTTTGCCCAATCCAAACTCGTATTGCCTGTAAAGACGTTTTCCCAGTCCAAATCCGTATTGTTTGTGCGCGCGTTTGGACAAATAGCCAAATGGACTCAGTGGGTCATTGAAATAATTTTCTGCCGGAGATGACTGATGCCCACCACCGTCCACCATAGTTTGCATAATATCAGATTGTTGCTGTTGCTGCGCCTGTTGACTTTTGATCCCGACTTTGTCTTCGTGTCCTGTGATTGCGTCCGTCCACACCGCTGTTGCGACGACTAAAATCCACATGTAACAACTATGATGCATTTTGACCTAAAAAATAAAGTGGTATTTAATTTTAAAATCTAAATTACTTCTACTTCTAGAGTCCGGTTTCAATATAAAGTGTTTATTGTTTTGTAAATTATGTAATTAATTTATTTTGGGTTTAAAATTAACTCGCTAATTAGCTATTTGTATTAGTACAATAGTACAAAGGTTGTTACTACCTAAAGTTTAAATAATAAAAAAAAGAAAACATAAATTTATTTGGCTTCTTCAGATTTATTATAATTGATAAGTAATAATGTTAATATTTAATTCTTCGGAAATGAGATTCAGAAATTTATGAAAAACAGGTTATATAATAAATTAATTTTCATTTTTCTTACATATTATACCAAAAGTATATACGCTAGAGAATAGGTAACTTATCTATATACTAACGTTTAAAATATTTATGCGTATAATCAAT